GAAATTGGGACCTCCTCCCACCTTCCTCCCCATACCACCCCCATCAAATTCCCATCAAGGTTCTTTTTCTTTAGCTTTCATCTCAAGTATCCAAATGCAAGAGTCTCTGACTCTCTGTTTCTGTGTCAGACATCTGAGTTCCCATTTCCTTGCTCGGCAGCCCTTATCTGCCCCTTTCTGCCTGATGTGTCATAGAATCATGGATTTAGAGATGAGAGGGACCTTAGAGGTCATCTATCCTATCACCAACCCTCATTTTTTCCAGATGTGGAAACAGATCTAGAAAAGTTAAGTGACTTGCATAAGGTGACACAGGTGACCAAGATTTGAACTGGGGGTCCTCTGACTCCAAATCTGGCCCTCTTTCCAGAGTTCCATGTGTCAATCGCTACTTTTTTGGTGATTAGGTTCCTTCGGGTCATTTCTGATGGAAGCTCTGCCCTGCAATCACAGAATCATCAGGTGGGAAGGTTTTTTTTTCCAGAGATCACCTGGTCTGTCTATCCAGGCCTGCTTCTTCTCTGGGCCAGGCAGATAAAGTTCTGCCTTAGAGCAAATGGTTTCCAAAGAATCAGATTCTACTCCCTCAACCCTGCCAGTGATTTGCAAAGTTCTTCCTTATGTCTAACCTAAATTCCTCATCTTGCCACAAGGTAAACCCATTTCCTCCCCTTGTGGCTTCCTGTTCTGTCTACTTGGCTGACAGGTAGGAAACCAAGGGCAGAAAGTCCTCCCACCTTCCCTTCTGCCTGCCAGGTAATATCTGAATCCCTTTCCCAAGCCCCAGAGCCTGACTCCTAGCTGGCTGTGCCCTAGCTTCACCTTGACGACGACAATGATAACTCTGCAGATGCAAATGGCCAGCCCCGGGTTAGGGGTGGCTGTACTGACTTCTGGGTTGGAGGAACAATCTGAATCCTGGACAGGCCTGTGATGGGTGTTCCATGAGTGGATGGAATTTAGTTTAACGTCAAAAGTGGGTGAGAGGGCCCCTTTGGTTTGTGTGTGAGGAAGGCACAGCCTGTTCCTTCCTGAATATAGAAGAGCTAGAGAAGACGTAAGCATCCAAGACATTCTCTTATTCAGGAGTGACTTCTTTGGGGACATTAGGGGTACTCAGGAGAGGTTTTCTGTCTCTCCCAGCCTAGAACTTGGTCTCCCTGAAAACTGGCCTGGTTCGCGAAGACTTGCTAAGGAAGTCTGCTTTCTAGAACCTGTAACAAAGAATAAAACATTAGAGAGGAGGAAAAAAGCATTTAGACAGATCTTACATCTAAGAGTACTAGCTTTGAAATAAAAAGACCAGGCTTCAAATCCCACTTGTGATGCTTACTGCCTGTGTGTCCTTGAGCACACTGCTGTAGCTCCCTGGGCCTCAATTTACCTTATCTGTAAAATGAGGGGATTGAACCACGGCTATCAAAGGCGTCATTCTCATGGCCTGCAAAACCCTTGCTAGTGCAGTTGGGAAATGCTTAAGAAAATAAATAAAAATATAATACAACATAGATAATGTTTGTGGTTTTCTAAGTCAATATGCAGCCTGCGGGGCTCCATTTCAACTTGAGTTTGACACCCCTTTGGACCAGATGGCCTCTAACTCCAGCTCTATGACATATTCAGACAGTATATGCAATGTTAAGTACCCTGTAGTCCTCCACCTCTGCAAAGGGAACAGATGAGGCAACAGAGGCAGGGAGGCGAATTCTACAAATACTTAAAAGCCAAAGGGGTGGGGATAGTTAGGTGGATAGAGTGCCTGGCCTGGAATCAGGAATACTCATCTCCCTGAGTTCAAATCTGGCCTCAGACATTTCCTCGCTGTATGCCTCAGTTTCCTCATCTGTAAAATGAGCTGGAGAAGGAAATGGCAAAGCCACTGTGGCATCTCTGCCAAGAAAGCCCCAAATGGGGTCATGAAGAGTCAGACAAGACTGAAAAATGACTGAACAACAGGTACCAGGTATTGTGTAAGGTGCTGTCTTCCTAGGGATGGGCCCCAGGGATGAATTGTATCACAGTGGAAAAAGCATTCAATTTGGAACCTCCTGAGGATTCCAAATCCCAACTCTGCCCTTAGTGCCTGCATGACTTTGGGCAAGTTGTTCAGCCTCTCTCGTCCTCAGTTTCCTCATCTATCAGATGAGGAGGTTGGACCACATTTCCTTTAAAGCCCCTTCTGTCTCTAAGTCTGTAAACCCATGATCCCTATTGGCTGTAGTGAAGAAGCCCCTTCCACCTGATCCTCAAATCAGGCTAGGCTTTCTAGGGGTCAATATAGTTTATTGAAAAGAATCTTGGTATCAGATAATCTGGATCCAAATCTCAGCTGAGACACTCGTGTGTGCAAATCATGGAACTGTTCTGATACTTACAATATCCAGCATTGTGTTTGTTTGGTTGGGTTTTTTTGGACTGGATCTATGATTTCATCAGTGCAGTAGAAAAGTATCTGGGGAACTGAAAGGTTAAATGATGGTACCCAGGACCACACAACCAGCGTGTGTCAGAGGTGCTTCTGAACCTGAGGCCAGCCCTCCATCCTCTATGCCATGGCCTCCTTTCAGCTGGAGGTAATTTTTATATCTACCTTGCAGTACTGTTGTGCAGAAAGAGCTTTGTACATAAGTGTGGGCATTTGTTATTAGGTAGGTCGTACTTTCTGTGCCCCCCAGGAATCTGCTGTCAGGGTCACTACCAAGGGAGCTTTGTGGGAGTGGGCTGTCTCCTCTGGGCACTTCATGAGGAAATGCCCCAGCCTTTTCCAGGTTACCCTTAGTTCTCCTTTTTCAATCTGTCACTTGGGATTTTATCCAATTCCCTTGGGAATCAGTTTATGCCACCCCTGGGCTAATCAGTTTTCTCAGCTTGCTCCCTTTCGGGTGATAGGATTAGCTAAAGTGGAAGGAAAAGAAAGCAGACAGCCAGAGACCACCCTCCCATCCCCAAGACACACACACACACACACTCCCCTCTCTCCAATAGCAGATTAGCCCTGGTCACTGGGGAGAGAAAGTAAATATTTGAGCTCTTTGTTACCGTGGAGACCCAGGACAGCTGTGTCTCTAGGGGAGGAGCCCCCAACTCCTGACCCAGGGAAGGCATCTCTTCTCTGAGGGAAATAAGAGTTCTCAGAGGAGGAAAAGAAATGGGAGCAGGTTACACAGTGTAGGCAGCTGCAACATTCAGGGGGCACTTTGTATTATTACTCTTTATAAATGCGTGTTTTAAGGCCCCCAAGTGGTACTTGGGTTTATTGTGTGATAGGATACATAGTATAGTTGTATATTCTTCCTAAGTCCAGTGAGATCTCAAATCCCCCAGTGGATAATTTTTAAAACGGGTGCAGCTGTCAATGGTTCCAGGTCAATCTGCTAGGCATGGATGCTTCCTCCCTCTGTAGGGCATGGTGGGAAAGCCATCAGTGTTCCCAGGGAAGTGAAAAAGACACCAGGGTGTGTGTGGGCTCAGGACTTCATTGGTGACAAACTGTTTTGCTGTCACCACCTGAAGGCCATTGTTTGTAGTCATGCCTTTGGACAGTTGCCCCTCTCATACTCCCTGTGGGAATGAGTCACGCAAAACAACATTCTCAGGCCAATTGTCACCGTTGTTACAAAAACTACTTTTCTGGTAAGGACTGATACAGTAACAAAATCTATAAAGAGCAGGAATGGAACAGGGCAGGAAAAGGAGATAGAATCCCTCTGTGTCAAGCTTAGGAGACAAGTGTCCCTGAGATGCCCACACAGATGCTTCTGCGTCAAAGCCTGGCCCCTTCCCACTGCCTTGTAGCCTGGTCCCTTAGGGACAGGTTGAGCTGACTGTGTATTGAGGCAGAGGAATCTCTGCGCTGGGGCTAGTTACTTGACAATAGCAACGGAGGTGCTTATCTTTAAAGAGAAAGCAACGGGGCCCAGAGAAGGGACATGCCGGCCTGTGAATTGGCCCTAATCATCTGTATTTACCAAGAGTGCCAGGAACTCCCTGTAGAGAAGTATCTGGGGACACTGAGAAGTTAAGTGATTTGGCCAGGGCCATACAGCCAGTATATCAGAGGTGAGATTTGAACTCTGGTCCTCCTAACTCTGAGGTCAACCCCTATCCACTATACCAGGTCTCCTCTGATCTAGAGATGATGCTTACCTACTGTGCGGTGCTGTTGTGAAGAAAGAGCTTTGTTCATGAGTGTGAGTGTTTGTTATACGTATGAAGACCAGGGGCAGCTCAGTGGTGCAGTGGATAGAGCACCGGTCCTGGATTCAGGAGGACCTGAGTTCAAATCTGGACTCTGACACACAAAAACACTTACTAGCTGTGTGACCCTGGACAAGTCACTTAACCCCATTGCCTAGCCAAAAAACAAAACAAAACAAAAAAAATGAGGATGAAGACTAAAGTGGCCAAAGGTGAGAGGGCAGTATGCCTTTCTCAATTCCACAGCCCTAGCCCTCTCTTGCTTAGGATAAGAGCTTGTTCTTTTTGACCTGCTCCATGGCCCTGGATCAAAGTTTGCTCCTCTGTGATCACCTTGGCTACCCTGGACAGTAACCTGGTTTAACCTGGTTTTATTATTATTTTTTGTGGGGGGGGGGGGCTAGGCAATGGGGTTAAGTGACTTGCCTAGGGTCACACAGCTAGTAAGTGTTATGTGTCTGAGCCCGGATTTGAACTCAGGTCGTTCTGAATCCAAGGCTGGTGCTCTATCCACTGCGCCCCCTAGCTGCCCCTTAACCTGGTATTATTTCTATGGCCTTGGGCCCTGGAGGGGGTTCTTTGGGCTGTGTCCTTTTCCTTCCCTTCCCTTCCCTTTCTTCATGCCTAAAAAACCCACTCACAGAGAAGGTTGGCCATGAGAATAGAACTGGAAACCCTCTGCCTGTGTCCAGCATTTCGGAGGCAAGCTAGCAGAAACCTCGCCTTTAGAGAAGCAGCTGTGAGCCTGACTAACTCATGGAAGTGACCCAGGGCCTTATCGGTGATCCCTTTTGTTTCCCCAGGGACGTCTCCGACAACTTCATCAGCACGTTAGAGACGGAGTTCTTCGAAAACCTCTCTGCCTTGGTACAACTGTACGTGACCTGTTCTGACTACCTTTTGTGACCACCCTCACACTCCTCCCATCATGCTTCCAAAACCTGTGTTGGCATCGATCCATTTTTAATCCAAACCACTTCTCCCCAATCATGCCCTTACCTTGCCTTCTCAATCCCCATGTTCCTCAGGACCGACCGTTCCTTAAGGGTCCTACAGGTCAGGTGACACCAGGCAGTGAGATCCAGTCCATTCATAAATACTGGACAGTCCAAATGGAGAAACAACCCCATGGGATCTCTCCAGAGAAGAGCTAGATTTAGGGCTTAACAAAAGCAAAAAGAGAAATTTAACTTTAAAAATATTTTTATTGGAGTCAAAGAAAATTAAGTTAATAAATACACTCAATGATTTTTCTTTTTTACTAACTGCAAGTTTAACCCATTTTATAATTAATCTTACTATTTTGAGTTCAGGGCATTCTTTTAAAAAGTTAACTTAATTGTTCACACGTGCCTTTTGCTTAAATCTTACTCCCATGCCTCTGAATGGTGTGGTGTCGCCTTTTAAACTCCTCAAGGGCTGGGACTTTTTGTTTTTCTTTGTACCTTCAGTGCTTAGCTCGGTGGCTGGCACATAGTAAAAGCATAGTGAATATTTGAAGCTGATGGCCGTGGAGCACAAGCCCTGGCAGGTCTCACCTACTAAGGCACCAGGGCTTTGGACATGAACCTAGGGAACTTCTCAGAGATTCATCATCTCTGGGCTAGTTGGTGATATCATATTTTTTTTTTGATCACAGCAACTCTGTGATCATCTGCTAAGCCAGAGAGAAACTGTCCAAGTGGAAGTCGTGCCCACTCCATTGAAAGTGGAGATCCCTGAAATATTGTGTACCTGTTCCAATGAGAGGTGATATGGGAAGAATGCACATCCCCTTCCCTTAGGAAGCCCTTTACTCTAGTAGGGGAGACCAAACTGTACACTTGAAACAATTAGAAAACAGTGCAGAACGGAGGATGACCAAGTGTTAGGCTGGAGAAGATAAATAAATGCTTTGGGAATTCATAAGTCAGTGGTATTTGTTATAAACAAGGCAGAAAGGGCTTTGACTTGCCCAGGGAAGCAGTCAGGTATTCTAAGAAGGAACCAACCAACCTAGCCCAAGCTAGCTAAGTGTTAGGCACAAGATGGGGCCCGAGTCAGTCCTTAGTTCTGGGAGGGAGGGAGACGTATCATTAAAACTAAATGGCCTTTCTCTTTCCTTTCCTGTCCTCTAGAGACATCAGCAACAACAAGATTTCGACACTAGAAGAAGGAATATTTGCTAATTTATTTAATTTAAGTGAAATGTAAGCTGAGATGATTTTCATTCAATAATGACAGGTCTGATTAGTTCAGGAATCAGTCCTTCCCCCAACATACACACACACACACACACACACACACACACACACACACATCTTTCCCCTTAGACTGACCCTGAGTGCAGCTCCTGGGGGACAAAGAGGTTTATCTGGATATCTGCTTCCTGAGTGGTCTATGGTCTAGGCTGCAAGCAATGGTGGGGTAGGGAGCAGGAATTTTGCCTCAATTTCTGGGGCTTCTTGTCACATTTGGGGATATTCTGGGGCTTTAAGTCACAGGGCTCAAGTTCAGTGTGGGTTCAACTCTTCCTACATCACCATTCTCTGTATGGTTCGGGGTCCTCCAGGAATTCCCACACTCTAAAGAGTAAGCAAAAGAGAGTTGTTAGCAATATTCTCAGAGGAATTTAGATTACACATTTATTCCCCACCCTCAGGACTAGGTGACACTGTCTGGAAGGGTGCCCAAGGGAAGTAATGGGATTTTAATTCCTAAGGAACTTCAAAATAAGCCCTCTTCCCATTTTCCCTGAAGTGTGGGCCATTTACTTATAGGCAAAAATTGAACTAGGTTGCCTTTGCCCCATTTCCTCTATGTCTGAGGTTCTCCTGATCCCCATCCCTTCTCCTGTGGCAGAAGCTTGAGTCTGAATCCATTCATCTGTGACTGCAACCTGTCCTGGTTCCCCAGCTGGGTGGATGAGCAGAAGGTCAGTGTGGTTAAGCTGAGGGAGACTCGGTGTGCCCAGCCACCACACCTGGCAGATGTCCCCATCCTCAGCATCTCCTTCTCTGATGACACCTGTGGTGAGTAGGACAAGCTTCCTGGATGGGTCAGTTGGCCCTACATGCTGAGTTTCCCTTCTGGCAGAGTTCTTTTCTAGGCCCTGTGAGGGAAAGATGCGAGGAAGGAGGAGAGCTAGTCCCTGATTTGGGGAGCTTTTGATGTGGGAAAAGTAGGACAGAGGCAGGAAAATGAAGACTGAAAAAGCCACGTAGGAACAAGTGCAAATTGAGAAAGGACAAATTGAGTCCATAAAATAAGATGTGGTCCAAACCAAGGGAGGCATATGACTGGGGGAAGGGAAATCAAGGAAGGCTTCCTGAAGAAAGGGAGCAACCAGCCCCTTATGCCACGTGTTTCCCTGTGACAGATGAGGAGTACATTGCCTGCCTCCAGGACAACAGCTCAAGCACTATGGCTGTGGTTATCTTCTCTGCTGCCCATGACGGTGTCCTGGCCCAGAACTTCTGCAGTGCCTTCTGTTTTTCCCTCGGTCAGGAGTATGGGGGTCTCTCAGAGGAGGGCTACTGCTTCTGTGGTAAAGCACACTCCCCTAATGCCTCCTCCAGCTGCCTCCTCTTCTGCCCTGGGTTCACAGCATCTCCTGCTGCATGCCGGGTACCCATTATTCTCCATAATGTCTTCCCTGCTTCCCTAGAAGCCTCACTCGTGGGGCCAGGGGTCCCTCAGCCTACTGACCACCTGGTGGCCTTCAAAGTAAGCACCCCACTTCCTGTCAACAACTTGCGCTGGGACTTTGGGGATGGGACCTTGGCATCAATCACTGGCTCTGCCACATCTCACCGATTTTTTCTCCCTGGTCACTACAATGTGACTGCTATTCTGACCTTGGAAGCAAGGACAACCTTGCTGTGGACAGAGGTGCAGGTAGAGGCTGTGCCCACAGAACTAGAGCTGCTGTGCCCATCTTGGCTGCAAAATAATGAAAGTCTTGAATTTGATATCCGGAACCGAGGGGGCACTGGGCTCAGTGCCATCTACAGCATCATGGCAGAGAACAAGCAGCCTGCCCAAGGTCAGTCCCATGGGGATATACCTCTTTTTCTTCTTCCTGCTCAAATTTACTCCTCCTAGGGTCTGGGGTGGGATCCAAGGGGAGTGAATCTGCTAATTCTGCTAGTTTTCTTACCTCCTAGCTTCTTGGTCTGCATAACCTAGTTCCCTACCCTCCATGTTCTTACTAGTGATTCAGAGTGTAATGGAACAGCCTGGAAAGAACCTTTATGCCCTCCACCCTGCCCCTGCTCATCTGGGTCCAACTCCCTAGAGGAGGCCAGGTCACATGGCAGAATGCACAGGAGTTTTGGTCACTGCTACAATGGGATCTTCCCAGGTTTCCCTCAAGAGAAACACTTACTCTTTCTCTCCCTACCCTTTTTACAGTGGTTCACCCCCTGTGCCCCTCAAGCACTGAGATCTTCCCTGGGAATGGTCACTGCTATCGCTTGGTAGTGGAGAAGGCTTCGTGGCTCCAGGCCCAGAGGCACTGTCAAGCCTGGGGTGGGGGAGACCTGGCCATTGTGGGCAGCCCTGAGATCCAACACTTCCTGGTCTCCCAGGTCACCAGGTAAGGGCAGTATTTTCTCTGGTTGGTAGAGACAGGATACAAGGAATCCACTTGGACTGGTTTCCTAACCAGGGATGGGACCTCTATTACCTAGGCATCTAAAGGAAGGGTTAAAGTGGGTCTAAAGAACCTTAGCTCTTCAAACTCCAGGTCTCAAATTGGGCAGGAGGTCCATAGACACAGGCACCCAACTGTCAGCTCCCCCACCCCACCCCAAGCGCTAAAGATAAAACAGGGAGTCCTAGAGGTAGAGGCCTGTAGCCATCACAGTCTCTCAGCTGTGGACTCTTCGCTTGACTGTCCATGCATAAACAGACAGAAGCCATTGGTTCATCAGTGTGGGTATTCCCTCCAGTGACGTAGATTGCAACCCCTCAACAAGTTGGTGAGAGTTGCTAAACCAAAACAATTTATCACCCTGTTGTCAACTGGGTCATGATCCTTTCTGAACTTAGCTGGGCTTCTCTTCTAACAGTAGACAGTCACTAGGCCCATGGGGTTTTACTAACTTGATAGAGCCTGTGCCCCACTGGCATAACCTCTGATAACCCAAAGTCAGTTTCATACCACTATTAGCATCAAGGGAGGATTTGAGTGTATAGATGTTGAAAAATTAGAGAGCCACTTTTGGCCACCCTTATCATCTTCCCCCTTCTCTTTTCCACATAGTGCAGGGAGTGTGTGTTTAGGTACTGCTCAGTTATGAGCATTGTACATCTGAGCTAGGCGGAATTAGGATGACAATGCTTGTCAATGATAACAGTAGCACAACTTTGAAAAGACTTAGAAATTCTTTTTGAATTTTTTTAAAATTAATTTTGTTAAATATTTCCCAATTACAAGTAAAAAGTTTTTTTAACGTTCATTTTTTAAAAATTGAGTTCCAGATTTTCTTCCTCCCACTCCTCCCCCACCCCTGGAGAAGGCAAGCAGTATGATATTGATTATACGTGTGAAATCATGCAAAACATATTTCCATATTAGCCGTGTTGCAAAAGAAAACACACACAAACCCCAAGAAAAATAAAGAAAGTTAAAAAAAAAAGTATGTTTCAATCTACACTTAGAGTTCATCAGCTTTCTTTCTGGAAGTGGATAACATTTTTCACCATTGATCCTTTGGAATTGTCTTGGATCATTGGAAAGACTTAGGAACTCTAATCAACACAGTGACCAACCATAATTCTAGAGGACTCATGATGAAATGTGTTACCGATCTCTGAATAGGGAGGGGATGGACACAGAGTATACATTGAGGCGTATGTGTATATATATATATATATATATATATATATTTATGTATATATACATATGTGTATATATATATTTATGTATATATACATATATGTGTATATATATTCTATTATTCTATTCACATATACACAGAGGCCATGTCCAAATATATGTGTATATGTGTGTACACACACACACACACACACACACACACATACACACACATATCTGTATATACAGAGAGAGAGAGAGATAACCCATGCTAAAATTTGTTTTGCTCGATTATACATATTTGTAATGGGCTTTATTTTCTTTGCTTTCTCATGGGAAGGGGGTGAGGGAGGTAAGAGGGAGAGAAGAGAATGTGGGCCAAAAATAAAATAAAATTTAAAATAAAAGAAACCATTACTCCCAAACCTGTAGATATGCTTCTTGGATTATCCAAAACACATCTGTTCACTGTGGCATGGATAATTGAGAGACTGCTGGAAAAAGGATGGTAGGTAATTGTTAGTGGGGATTTCCCCAAAGCCCCAGAGGGCCAGGAAGCAGGACATAAGATACTGTATACACTGGGTCTGGGGACTTTGGTCCCTGGATGTGGTCAGCTTTTGCAAATACCCACTGGAGAAGTCAGAGAGTGAAAAAGGGCGTGAGTGAGAGCTGAGGTGGAAGAGGGGAGGGAGGTTAGGAGGGGGCAGCTGGACTGGGCAGCTTGGTCCGGAGGTGGTTCTGTCCAGTTGGCCGGCTGCCATGGCAGGGCTATTATTGCTCTGGCCCTGGGGAAGAGAAGAACTCTTCCGGCCTGATGGCTTGCTCTTGTCAACACTACCAGATGCAGATGTTGGCCAGGGGCGGCTTTTATAAACATGTCTAGGAAAGCACACGGAATGGCCCAGATGTGGGGGTGGAGGGGTGTTTCCCAGTGGCCCCTCCCTGGACTTCATGCCCCTCCCCCTTCACCACCCAGTAGGGGAATCTGTTTCCCAGATGTACAGGGCAAAATGGAACAGTCCCTGGAATTCTCTGATGCCCCAGGCCCATCCTAACCTCTCACTCAATATTCTTAGTGGATTTATACTCCAGCCCTCCAATCTCAAGTGTCTCCTGAGTGTCCATGTCCCTGGAGGGGAAAAGCTCTGTCTTGGCTACAATGTTTCTTGATACCAACTTCTCATATTGAGATCTCATATGATCTGTATGACTGTCTGTCTGTCCCTTCCTGACTTCTCCCACCTTGGACCCTGTACGCTTTAATATTCAGACCCTCTTAAACAAATCCTGGTGAAAGCAGGTGTGACCAACCCTCTCTGAGAAGACATATGCGCAATCACCCATTTTGAAGGCTTCAGCTTTCTCAGGGAAATGAAGCAGAAATGTGGTTCCCATTAGCAAGAAGCTTTAGTGGATCTCTTAGCTTGTCTGCCTGGTTTCTTTCTGACTCTGTTTTTCCTATCTCTCTCTCTCTCTCTCTCTTTCTCTCTCTCTCTCTTTCTCTCTTTCTCTCTCTCTCTCTTTCTCTCTTTCTCTCTCTCTTTCCTCCCTCCCCCCAAGAGAGACCAAGAAACATAGCAAAGTTATTTTCTAAAATCTACTTGTCTGTACAAATACATGTGGGCATGTGTGTATGCGTCCATTTATTTCCTGGTGGTGCTACTCCCTCTCCCTTCCACCAGGACACAGAGAGGCTTTCGAACCCCAAAGATCAGTCGGCAGAAGGGGACCTTGCCTGGGTGACTTCATGGGAGGTGCTGAATAGAATGGAGATCCTGGGGCCCACCTCTAAGGTCGCAGCTCAGTCCAGAGCTGAGCTGCTCATTCTCAGTCCACACTATAATTCTTTAGCTACGGGTCTGGATAGGGGAGGATTGGAAAGGGGCGCTTCCTCTTTGGGAGAGAGAAGAATCTTCCTCCTTTGTGATTCATGCACATGCCATCCTGACATGGTGTGGCAGGGAGTGCTAGCTGGGAGAAGACACTTGGAGAAGAGTGAGAAGGCTTTGGCGGCTATGGGACGGGGGAGTGACGTGAAGGAAGAGGCCTGGCTGTGACCAGGATTCTGAACACTAAAGTCATACTCCCCATAAGCACTGACTTTGGAGATATACACCCTGCTGTATCGACTATATTCCTCCAGGACTTTGCTCTTAAACTAGTGACTCCATTTTTACAGCATGGGCTTTCTACCCAGGCCATGAGTCTGAGGCTTAGGAGGGATGGAGACACACAGAGTCTGTTCTTGGACATGAATAGGCGCCAAAGAAAAGCTGCTTCCCTCTCCCCTCACCATCATGACATTCTCTGCCTTATGTGGAAGAAGTTGTTTTCCTGGCCTTGAGGACAGGAGAACTCTTTGTTTCTTGGGGCAAGCAACTTCTCATCCTTCCTCTGTCTCAAATGTCACTGGGGCTATAGCTAAGTGGACCCTGACTATTGACAGGAGCCTCGATGTGTGGATTGGCTTCACGGCCTTGACGGGTCCTGGGGTGCCGCCCCATGGAGAGGCCTTCAGCCTGGAGAGCTGTCAGAACTGGCTGCCTGGAGAGCCACACCCCGCCAACGCTGAGCACTGTGTGCGCCTGGGCCCTGCTGGCCAGTGCAATACCGACCTCTGTACGGCCACCCACAGCTATGTGTGCGAGTTCCAACCCACAGGTATTCAGTCTTGGGAGGTAGGGAAAGAGCACACACACATACACACACACACACACACACACACACACACACACTCACACAGACCCCAAGAGATGAACCCTCTGGCAGCCAAGAGCAACAAAAGGTATAAGCCCAAGGCAGCCCAACACTGTAGAACCTTTCTCAGGCCCCATACTTGCCTCCCTAGGTCCCACATGGAGGGAGCCACACAGCTCTCAAATCCCACTCTGGGTGCTGGGACCACTCATTTGCCCCAAATGGTTATCCATGGGGGAATGGCTGACTTAGAGCCAAGTTGTGGGGATGGGGGGGGATTGGAGAGGCCTGAGGCTGTTGAACAGCGATTGTACCTGTCCATTTCTAGCCACCACTACTGCTACCCTCATCCTCCCCCAACACACACACGTGAGAAAGAAGGAAAAAATCCACAGGCTCCAGCTTCTCTCTGACCATTCAAGCTATTGCTTGCTCTGCTCCAAGACCAGAGACCTCCTTCTGACCCTTTGACCCTCAAGAGCACCAGAGTCATCAGTCTCTTCTCCTCACTAGGGGCTGTGTCTAATTCGGAGAGTTTCTTTGTGGGTGATGCCGGCTTGGATCTACCAGGGCCCATGATTCCCATGGAGGAGCAAGATGCCCTCTCTGCCCCAGGACATGAGACTGTGGAGGTAACAGGGACCTTCTGCCTCTTAAATCCTTCTTGCCAGTCCTGTTGAAAACTCGCCTTCTCCAGGAAGCCTCATTTGATTTACTCCCATCTGATTCTGATTATTCATGCGCTTTTCATCTTGATTCCCTTCTTGGATCTTTTTAATGTGTTGGCACCTTGTCTTTCTAATCAGGTTAAGAATTCGTCCCTAGAGGGCTGGGAACTCTTCCTCCCCTATCAGATTGGAAGATTCCTGAAGGCTCCCTCATCTCCCAGTGAGAGCAGGCGGTGCTTGACAACAAGAACTGTGTCTCCCTCATCAGACTGGGTGCTCCCCAAGGGTGGAATCATGTTTCTTGTCAGACTAGGGGCTCCCTAAATACAAGGACGGTCTCTATCCTGTCAGATTAGGAGCTGTCCTCTATTCCCAATGACAAAAATGATCTATATCCCGTCATACTGGGAGCTCCCTCAGGACAAGGGCAGTGCCTCTTCTTAGACTAGGAGTTTCCTGAGTTCAGGAATTCTCCCTCTCCTCCCATTATACAAGAGTCTCTCCAAGAGTAAAAATCCTCTCTCTTTCCCCTCTCCTGCCAGCTCTGAACAGAATCCTCAACACACAGGGCCATTTGATCCAGGTTGGCAACATACAAGTTTCTACCTGTGTATTGAGAGCTGTTTCTCTCTCTATCCAGGTGATGATTTTTCCTGGCCTGGTGCTGCAGCGGAAGGGTTTTCTTACTGCTGCTGAGTTTGGGACTCGGGACCTGACAGCGCCAGTGCAAATGAAGCTTCAGGTGTATCGTCCTGTGGGAGGAGGTAAGATGCTGTCCTATTTTCATGGCTTGGCCCCCCGGTGGGGGGGAGGTAGGGAGAGTATGGTTACTTAGGGAAGGGATGTAGAGGCCTGGCCTGGCCCCTCTCTGCATGGTCAGAGCCTATGAGTTAGACACAACTGTTGGATAAATAGTAGTGTCTGTCTACGAGAAAGGACGAGAAGAGCCCAACATCATCCAGAAAGAGTATGTTTGGGTCAGGATTCAAGCCCATGTTTTTTTGTTCTCTTGGCCTAACCCACTTGGTCTGTGCTGAGACTGGGTTTTCTCTCTTTATTGCTAGAGAAAGATACTAAACAGTTTATCTTCTTGGGAGCAGGGTAGAAGGGTCAGTTGGGTGTGACCGGGATTTTCCCTTTAGGGTAAATGGGCCCTCAGTCTCATGTCACCTTCTTGCTCTCCTTCCAGGTATCCCAGAGAACACCAGCCAACTTTCATGCCCACCCCTAGACAACCAAACATGGGTGCCCCTTGAGTGTTTGGCTGGGGAGTGCTGGTGCCCCTTGGCAAATATGTGCTTGCCTCTGGACAGTCCTTGCAGCATATCACCCTGTGCTAATGATTCCTCATCTGAACAAGACAACCATTGGTCCAGCTACTACTCACTTTGGAGGGAGTTCCTATTCTCCATCCCTGTGGGCCCTTCCTCACAATACTCAGTATGTATCCCACACTCTGGACCTGAGCCCTGGGAGTGGGGAGAGGAGAGGAGAGGGGGAGAGGAGAGGAGAGGACAGAAGACAAGAGGAGGGGAAGAGAGAGGAGAATGTTCTTCCTTTCAGAGCTATCCCTGGGGAGCTATCCTGTTAGAGCGGGGGTTCTAAACCTGGGCTCTATAAACTCGGTTTTAAAAAAATATTTTGAACCCTAAGAATATTTGTGGTGAAGAGAGAGGAGTGATGGTGAAGCAGGAGGACATCTGCTTCTATAAAATGATTGTTTGAAACACAGTTCATAGAAACAAAAACCCTGGAAATAACCCATGTGTCCAAGGATTAGGGAATCAGCTGGGCCAACTGGTATATGACTATGTGACAGTGACACTATGAAGAACATAGAGTTTTGTGGGAAGCCTTACATGAAGGGATTCAGAGGATGGGAACCGGAATCCAAATAGCAACGTACACACTGACAACAACCACACAAATAATAGCAAAACAACCCAGACAAATAGGCAGAAGCAAAGAGGACGTTTCTGGTGCTATTTGGTTAAAGTTAAGACTTTAAAAAAAATAAATTAAGTTCCACTTAAAATGTATACTTTTGGTGGGAGGAATAATTGTATTTCAGTATTATTATTTCCCTTTGTAATCCTATGTATTTTATTTTATGCTCTTAAAAGTATCATTCTGAGAAGGGGTCCATAGGTTTCACCAAACTACCAAAGGTGTCCAGGACACAAAAAAAGTTTAAAGAGCTTAAAGTTTAAAGTTTAAAGAGTTTAAAGTATTTGAGGGAACAAACTGCTCTTATGCCACATACACAGGGACAGAGCCCTGACTGGGATGGCAATGAAGACATATACTGGGGGGAAAGGGGCTATGGAGGGGCTGTGTCTGTCCTCACTCACCTTCAAGGTAATATCAGGGCAATAGGACTGAAGTTTTTCCAGGTCATCTTTTGCTTCCTTTTGTTTCAAGGAAGATTCTGCCTAACCCCCTTATACATCCTGGTCACTACTTAGCAGAAATCAGCGGTGGGGCCACTTGGGCTGGTTGGCATATCTAATGGTGCTGCTCTGCACTCCAGGTGAGCTTCAGCAACAAGAATCTCTCCTTGCTTCCTGGGGACCTCTTCGGTATCCAACATGATGCAGGTCCAGGTGCTCTGCTACACTGTCTTCCCCATCATGAAGCACTTTCCCACCAACCCCTCCAGCCTGAGTGTTTAAGTGCCAATGTCTCCACTTGGCTGCCTAGCCTGCCTGCTCACCTCTTGGGGGTGCCTACTGTCAATGGCACCACCTGTGCCTTGCGTCTGCTCTTTGCTACAGAACAGGTGACTCGTCTCCTTGGCCAGCCCTCTAACCCTGGACTACAGCACCTTGGGCACTATGTGGTTCGAGCTTCTGTGGACAATGGTGTGTCTAGCCACAACCTGTCCTGTAGCTTTGATGTGCTCTCGCCTGTGGTAGGACTCAGAGTCATTCATCCTACCCCCCAGAGTGGTCGATTCTACGTTTCTACCAACTGGACTTATCTAATGCTGAAGATCAGCTCAGGAGTCAACTCCACAGCCAGTCGGCTGGGAAGCAACCAGAGTGTGCCCTTTGAAGCCTCTTGCCCTCCAGGGGTGGCCCGGTTGACAGCAGACTGTATCCGGGAAACCAATGACACCTGGTTTGCGTTACTTGAACTTGATGGTCTTGGGGAAGATGAAAGCCTGGTAGAGATTGTGGCAGAGAACCGTGTGAGCCGTGAGAACATCAGCATCCAGGTGAAGGCTGAAGAGCCTATCCGCGGACTCAGTGCCACCCCAAATCCCCAGACCCGGGTGTTGCAGAGCACCCTAGTGGTGAGTAGGAATTAGGCAACAGAAGAGCTGAGAGGTTGCCTTGGATAGAAGTGACATGTACTTAAAAGGCTTCTTTTTCTCAGGGGGTTTCTCAGGGGATTGGGATTAACAGTAGCCTTAGTCCCTGGATACCCTGACTTAGGGTCTAGAATCTTGGGCAATAAGTTTAGCTGGCCCTAAGTGGGGAGCATTTCTTTCTAATCGAAGTTATAGGCTGATTGTCTGGTGTTGGGGGGGGGGGCAAGTTGGAGAAGAACTCCAGCCCGTCAGGCAGTTTATAGAAATGACTACATGTGCTGGTATCGGAACCCTCTGGTTAAGTGGGATGTCTGCAAATACTGTTTCATTTTTGACTTTGTATCCTCAGATTCTAGCATACAATAAGTACTTAATAAATGCTTGTTAAATGAATGAAAGAATGAAAGTCGTCACAGCTCTTACTGGAGCCAGGAGGAATTATGAACAGTCAGGGTTGTATAAAGGAGCCATAATTTGGTATAGTCTGGGATTCCCTAAAGCCCTTCCTGGACTGTTTTGGTAGGAGAGGTCTCGGGTGGCAACCCCTCAACTTGGGAACATGGGGAATATGACCTGTATCCTTCATTCCAGAGATACAGCCCTGTAGTTGATGCTGGCTCTGATGTCGTCTTTAAGTGGACCATCGACGATAAGCAGTCTCTGACCTTCTACAACATTGTCTTCAATGTCATCTACCAGAGTGCTGCTGTCTTTAAGCTCTCGGTAAATAGAAATAGGGTCCCGGCCCTTTGTCCGTTCCCTGGGCATTAGACAGAGGCTGGCTGGCTGCTCTGGGCCTGGGCAGCCCTGCTTCCTAAGCAGGACAGGCTGATGTAGCAACTGCTTCCTGTGATCTCACCTCTGCCTTTTTTTTCTGCTTTGCTTCTGTTCCTGAAGGGTCCTGAAAAACCTAAGGGTGAGTGAGTTGGTTGGGAGTGTTGGGACAGGGAAGGGGGAGGAGAGGGACTCTGTGAATCTTTCTCTAACCTTCTGTTCCTCTGTATGTGTGCTGCTCTGTCTTTGAATTCCTGTCTGGCTCCCTTTTCTATTACCGTCCCCTGCCTCCCCTCTGAGGACCTAGTTCAAAGTCTCTGGTCCCAGCCCTGCCTGTGTCCTACAGCTGACAGCCTCCAACCATGTGAGTAATGTCACCGTGAACTACAATGTCACAGTGGAGAAGATGAATAAGATGAGAGACCTGGTGGTGTCAGAGGTTCCAGCCATCATTCCACAGAACACCACTCTGCAGCTTGGCGCCAGTGTTCAAGTGGACTCAGCCGTGGAAGCAGCTTTCCTGTGAGTCTTTCCCCATAGCCAGAGGGCACTGGCAACAAGGGCTCAGCCCCTGCGCCACCCTGAGACTCAGTTTCCCTGCTGGCCAAATGGGCACAATGCCTGCTGCTTGGAGCTGTCATTGCTGAAGTTGTGGCTGGAGACATTCAGGATAGTCTGCATTGGTCTGAGAACATGCCTCTATGTTGGGGATCTCCTCCACCAGAGTTAGGAAACCTGCGTGTAATAAGTCACACGTTAGGCTGTGAGGGGCAGCGGGGCAGAAGCAGGGAAATCTGTTCAGCTTGAGCAAATTCCGAAGAGCCATATGAACATTTTAATACCTCTTCACCTTCCTCTTCATCTTCCCTGGGATAGAAGTGTTACCCCTCTGGCCTGGAGGAGGGAGTTCCCCTCTCCAAAGTGCCTCGTGTCAATTCCCCTTATTGCCCCTTGGGCTGCAGGAACAGGAGGTGGTGGGTGTCACCTTTCCCACCCCAAATTAGTTGTGTGCTGGGCCTGGCTGACAAACTTGCTTCAAGCTACTTGCTCACTCCCTGACCCCTTTCCTTCCTCCTTCTCTAGGTGGACATTTGGGGATGGGGAGCAAGAGAGTGGTCAGTTCAAGCCCCCATACAACGAGTCCTTTCTGGTTCCTGAGCCTGGTGTCCATCAAGTGCTAATTGAACACAATGTCACGCATACCTACCATGTCCCAGGTGAGCCGTGGAGTCAATGAGTAAGGGTTTTCTTGCCCTTCCCAGTTTTCCTGTGATATTCCCTAGACATATATCCCCAGATCAGCAATTCTATCCCCCTCGATTCCTCCTTCAGGACTGCAGGTTGTCTGGGTTCATTGACATGGGACAAATCTGTTTCTTTTGTCTGGTTCCCTACTTATGGTCCTTTCAAAGTTTACAGTGTTGAGTCTCAAGGAAGAAACTGTCCCACCAGCATGAGGAGTGAGGGTACTATGCCTCTAAATCCAATGTGATTTCCAGGATTTAGGGCTCCTAATGAAAGGTTAGATGTAATAACTAGTTACTTGCTCCTCATCTCCCATCTCTGTGTTTTTGCAGTCTCTTTCCCTGTCTGGAATGCCCTGTCTCCTCATTTCTGCCTCGTAGAATCCCCAGTTTCCTTCAAAATTTATCTCAAGTGCCATTTTCTACAAAAAAAAAAAAGTCTTTCCTGACACCCCCGGCTAGTACCTACTTTCAAAACTGTCTTGTATTTATTTTGCATACATTTTAATGTACTTATATTTGTATATAGGATCATAGAAGTAGAGCTGAAAAGGACCTCAGAGGCCATATAGATCAACCATCTCATATTACAGATGAGGAAACTGAGGCTTAGGGAAGTTAAGTGACTTTCCCAAGGTCACCCAGGTAGTAAGAGTTAGAGGTAGGATTTGAATCCAAGTCTTCTGTCCCTAGAGCCAGTATCCTTTCCACTGTACTATGTTGCCTCCTCCAATAGAATGTGAGCTTCTTTTTTTCTTTTTTTCTTTTTTTTTGAGGAAATCAGGGTTAAGTGACTTGCCCAGGATCACATAGCTATTAAGTATCTGAGTCAGGTTTTGAATTCAGGTTCTCTTGACTGAAGCACCGGGACTCTATCCACTGCTGCCCCAGAATGTGAGCTTCTTGAGGGCAGAAAGTCTTTTCATTTTTGTCTTTGTATCCCTAACACCTAATACGGTGCCTGGCACATGGTAGGTTCTTAAACAATGTCTATGGCTTGACTGACTGACTCTTCTCTTTCCCATATCTCTCTCCTTCAGGTGACTATAACCTCACAGTGTTTGTGTTCAATACCTTTGAGAATCTGACCCAACAGGTACCTCTGAGTGTCCGGGCTTCCTTGCCCCATGTCACTGTGGAGACGGACAGTGGAGCCCTGGTGGTCGGCCACCCCATCACCTTTACTCCATGCCCGCTGCCCTCTCCAGCTGGTGTTCTGTACACATGGGACTTTGGGGATGGATCCCCGGCCGTGCTGAAGAGTGAGCCAGCAGTCAGCCATACCTACATGAGCAGAGGGGTATTTAACATCAGCCTGGTGGTCAACAATACTGTGAGCAGTGTGAGGGCACACCTCTCTGTCCGCGTGTTTGAGGAGATTCAGGGACTGCGAGTGAGTCCCATTGCAGCCACAGAAAAAGGCATGGCTGTCACTGTCAATGCTTCGGTGGAAGCCGGGGACAATATTACGTGGACCTTTGATATGGGAGATGGCACAGTCCTAACTGGCCCAGAGGCCTCTGTCCAGCATGTCTACTTACAGGATGAGAACTGCACCATCAAGGTGACTGCAGCCAACCCTGTCAGCTCCATCTCCCAGGTCCTGCCCATCCATATTTTTGTCCTAGAAGTGCTAAAGATTGAGCCTTCATCCTGCATCCCTGAGCAGCCTGAGGTCCAATTAACTGCCCATGTGACTGGGGACTATACGCACTATATCTTTGACTGGACTTTTGGGGATGGTTCATCCAATGCCACCGTTCACGGCCACCCCACAGTAACTCATAACTTCACCCACAGTGGGATTTTCCCTCTGTCACTGGTCCTGTCCAGCCTTGTCAACAAGGCGCATTACTTCACCAGTGTCTGTGTGGAGCCTGAGGTTAGCAACATCACCCTTCGACCTGAAAGACAGTTTGTGAGGCTTGGAGAGGAAGCCAAGCTTGAGGTGCAGGCCTTCCCACCATTTTTCTACCGTTACTCTTGGGATTTTGGGGCCAATGACTCTGCCCGCTCGGGAGGCACTGAGGTGAGCTACACTTACAAGGTCCCTGGAATCTACCTGGTCACAGTGACGGTATCCAACAATGTCTCCTCAGACAATGATACAGCGTTTGTGGAGGTTCAGGAACCCATGGGCATCACCAGCATCGAGGTCAACAGCTCTCATGTGCTGGAGCTAAACCAGCCCTATCTGTTCTCAGTTATGGGCAATGGGAGCCCAGCTAGCTACAGCTGGGACCTGGGGGATGGCCAGAGGCAAGAGGGCCTGCAGGTCATCCACGCCTACAATCACACGGGCAGCTACACAGTCAGTGTGATGGGCTGGAATGATGTGAGTCACAGCGAAGCACAGCTCAATGTCACAGTCAAGAGGAGGGTCCAGGGTCTGAGCGTCAATGCCAGCCGGACGGTGGTGCCGCTGAATGGCTCTGTGAGTTTCAGTACCACACTGCAGGCAGGGAGTGATGTGCGCTATTCCTGGGTCCTATGTGATCGCTGCACCCCCATCCCAGGCTCCTCCACCATATCTTACACTTTCCGTTCCGTAGGAACCTTCAACATCATTGTCACTGCCGAGAATGAGGTCAGTTCCCTGCAGGGCAGCATCGTCATTTATGTGCTGCAGCAGATTGAGGGGCTGCAGATGCTGGGCGGGGGTGATGGTGGCTGCTTTCCCACCAACCACACCCTCCAGCTTCAGGCAGCAGTGAAGGATGGCACCAACATCTCCTACAGTTGGACGGTGCAGCGGGAGAGTGTCCCCATCCACACTGCCCAAGGCAAGGTCTTTCCACTGATTGTCTCTGAGGCCGGCACTTACCATGTCCAGCTAAAGGCCATCAACATGCTGGGAAGTGCCATGGTCAACAGGACCCTTGAGTTTGTGGAGAATGTGGGGCAGTTGGCAGTGTCTGCTTCCCCCAACCCTGCTGCTATTAACACATCTGTCAACATCAGTGCTGAGATATCTGGTGGCACCAGCATCACCTACACCTGGCTCTTTCAAGAGGGCATATCTGTGGAAGCCACAGAACCATTTGTCATCCATTCATTCTCCAGCCCAGGCCTGTGGGCAGTCACTGTCATAGCCAAGAACCAACTTGGCTCAATCAATGCTACAATCCATGTGGATGTGCAGGAGCCTGTGTCTGGCCTCACTGTTGGGTGCGGGGAGTTAGGCAGCAGTTTTGTGGTCTCAGGCTCTGTTGTTCACTTCTGGGGGGATCTGGAGCACGGGAGCAATGTAAGTTGGTCCTGGGAGTTGCCAGATAGCACTAGGAGTGGACAAAGAATGGCTAATGTCTTTCCCAGTGCTGGTACCTTCTCCATCGGGCTTAATGCCTCCAATGCTGTCAGCTGGACCACAGCCAGCTGCAACATCACTGTGGAGGATCCCATTCAGGGGCTAGAGCTCTGGGCAAGCAGCAGGGTGGTAGAACCAGGGGAAAGGGTCCATTTCAGCATCCGCCTGACCTTGGGCTCAGATGTAAATTACCATCTCCTGATCAGTGGGGGAGTCACCACAGCTCTGGGTGGGTCCAACTTCTCCTATAGTTTCCCTAGAGTGGGTGACTATATGGTGACTGTGCAGGCAGAGAATCACGTGAGCTGGGAGCAGGTCCAGGTGCGCATCTCTGTCCTGGAAGCCATTAGTGGGCTACAGATTGTGGGCTGCTGTGAGCTAGGTATACCTACAGGTGGGGAGAGAAATTTCACAGCCCGGGTACAGAGGGGGTCACGAGTCTCGTACGCCTGGGATTTCTCCCTGCAGAAGGTTCAGGGTGACTCTCTGGTTATCCTCTCTGGCCGAGAGGTGGCTTACACCCCTGTGGCGGCCGGCCAGCTTGAGATCCATGTCCGTGCCTTCAATGACCTGGGCAGTGTCAACCTCACCAGGACCATAGAGGTTCAGGACCTCATCCAGGCAGTGGATCTCCATCCTGGAAGCTGCTTCACAAACCGATCAGCACAATTTGAGGCAGCCACAATACCAAGCCCCCGACGTGTGTTTTATCGTTGGGATTTTGGAGATGGGTCCCAGACCCAAGTGACCTCCACACCCTTGTCTAACCACACTTACCTGCTTCCTGGGGACTACAGCATAAAAGTCAATGCCTCCAACCTAGTTAGTTTCTTGGTGGCCAAGGCCACAGTGACAGTACGAGTGCTGGAGTGTGAGGAGCCAGAGGTAGAGGTGGCCCTGCCCACCCAAGTGGTGATGCGTCGGTCTCAACGCAGCTACCTGGAGGCACATATCAACTTACGGGGCTGTGTCACCTACCAAACTGAATACCATTGGCAAGTGTACCGGGCAGCCAGCTGCTTGCATTACAAGCGTTCTGCCCACGTGCCACTGCCCGGCGTGGATGTGAGCCGGCCTCAGTTGGTTGTGCCACGGCTGGCCCTGGCTGTGGGTGACTACTGCTTTGTCTTTGTGGTGTCCTTTGGGGACACACCCCTATCACGCAGCATTCAGGCCAATGTGACTGTGACACCTGGCCGTCTTGTGCCCATCATTGATGGTGGCTCCTATAGAGTCTGGTCCAACATACGGGATCTAGTGCTTGATGGTGGCAAATCTTATGACCCCAACCTGGAGGACGGTGACCAGACCCTCCTCAGCTTCCACTGGGCCTGCGTCTCTTCCTCCAAGGTCAGTTAAGCTTCTGTGGGATTTCTATTCAGCATGGTCAGGGGATGGGAATGGGCAATAGAGACCACAGGACAGTGGTGATCAGAACAGGCAGGGACATTGTCAGTGGTTTAGGACAGCTTGCCATACACATATCCCACTGTATCTAGAGTGACTAACAGGAGAAATGAGGGATAATCAATGGGAAACCAATTTAGCATCTACTCCCCACCAGAGACCCCTGAAAAAACTTGTGGGCACTGGTTAATCCTTATACAGGAGACCGTAGGTTAATCTTTGCATAGTAACTATCCCCCTGGACATAGAGTCCAAATGAGAAGGGAGATCTTTTGAATGACTATCTCTTGGGGCAGACACCAGCTACTGCTACTTGTCCTGGGAAATCTCTCTCCCTAAGAGGATGGATCCTCCCTATATGGAAGGATCGCTCCTCCCCTTCCTGGCCAGGGTTGTCTGTCTGATGACTTCTCTCTTTCCCTTTCCATCCCATCTGGTGGTATACAGAGTCATCCTGGAGGATGTCCCTTAAACTTTGGCCCCCGGGGGAGCAGCATGATCACCATTCCCAAGGAGCGGCTTGAGGCTGGCGTCGAATATACATTCAACCTGACTGTCTGGAAGGCAGGGAGGAAGGAAGAAGTGACCAATCAGACGGTGGGTACCACTGCTCTGGACCCCTCTCCAGGGAGGTAATACTCCTTGGCAACTCTACCCAAGTGATGAGTGAACATACCTAACAAAAGTTATCCAAGTCCAGGAATTAGAATTATGTCCACACCTTCCAGTGTGCTAACCTCTCTCTCTGATAAGGTGAAAGAAGGGGTCAGGTCTTGGGGAGTATGACTGATATTGTCTAGGGACGAAGTAATATTGCCAAATCATGAAAAAGAAAAGGAAAGCGGAAGTGTGTGTAAGCCCAAATGGTGGGACAATCAAAAAATCCTTGTCCTTTTAATGGTGCATCCAAGGACAAACTCTTGTTCAAACAGACATATTCCTGCCGTGTCTCTGGAATAGATTCTACTTCTTTCTCAGCACAGCTCAGTGTTAGTGAAGGACCCAGCTAGATGACAAAGAAGGAAGGGACTGTTGACCTGCAAGGCAGATAATTAAGAGATGACTTTTTAATTTGGGGTTGGGCCTGGTGTTGCTTCCTTCAGGGGGGTAGGCTCATTAGACTTTGCTAATATTTCTACAGTGCTTACTATGTGCCAGGCACTGTGCTAAGTGCTTTACAATTATGATCTCATTTGATTCTCACAGCATCCCTGGGAGATAGGTGGTATTATTATCCCCATTTTATAGTTGAGGAAACTGAGGTAGGCAGAAGTGAAGTGATTTGCCCAGGGTCACACAGCTAGAAAGTGTATGAGGCCAGATACTCAAGTCTTCCTGACTTCAGACCTGGCTCTCTGGTCATTGCTCCACCTAGAAAAGGTCATCTGGTTCAATGTATGCCTGAACAGGAATTTCATGGGACCTCCAACAGTCCATTAAACTGTTTCTCCCCCCTCCATATTTTTCATATGAACTGTTACCTAGCAATGCCCCTCCCATCCTGTACTTGTACCATTGATTTTTTTTTCACTCAAGTATAAATCATTGTGTTTATCCCTGAATACTCAATTTCATCTTACACTGTTCCCATTGTTCTGGACTGCTGAGGCTTTTTTGGGATCCTGACTATCATCCAATGTGTTATACTGTATGAGGCAGTGGAAAAGACACTGAACTTAGCATCAGAAGACTTGGGTTCAAATCCTGAACTACTTATTAGCTATGAGCCTCAGTTTTCTCATTTTAAAAAATAGAAATAGTAACTACATCACTTATTTCACAAGGGTGTTGTTAGAAGAGCACTCTGTAAACCTTAAAGTGCTATATAAATGTGAATTAATATTAGCTGCCCCTCCCAGATACATGTCATCTGCAAATTTGATCAGCCTGCCATCAATGCCTTCATCCAAATCATTGATAAAAAAGTTGAATAGAATGAGGATAATAATAACACCTCCCTCCCAGGGTTGTTGTAAGGATCAGATGGGCCAATATTTGTGAAGTGCATGGCATGTTCATTATTGTTGTTCAGTCATGCCTGACTCTTTGTGACCCAGCTTGGGGTTTTCTTGGCAAAGGTACTGAAGTAGTTTGACATTTCCTTCTCCAGCTCATTTTACAGATGAGGTAGCTGAGGCAAACAGGGTTAAGTGACTTGCCCAGGGTCACACAGCTAATACGCATCTGAGGCCATATTTGATTTCAGTTCTTCCTGATTCCAGGCCTGGCGCTCTATCCACTGCACCACCTATCTGCCCCCGTAGCTTGGTACATAGTAAGCACCTAATAAAAGTTTGTTCCCTTATTCCCCCATTTTTGCCTTCATCCAAGTAATTGATTAAAAATGTTGACTAGAACAACGTCAAGGACCTAGCTTCTACCCAATACTTCCTCCCAGATTGTCAGTGACCCATTAATCACTACTATTTGGGTCCATTCTTTCAGAAACTTTGAAATCTACCTGGCTGCCCACTCCTCTCTCCATCCTCTTGTTCACAAGGCTATTATGGAGAGTTTGTGTTGTGTGTGATACTGTATCTACAGCATCATCCTGATCTACCAACTTAGTAACCACCATGAAGCTATATTAGTTCTTTGTAATCACTACTTCCCTTTCTGGGTGCTCAGAAAACATCCCTTTAATAAGGCATTCTTTAGTTTTTCCAGAAATTTGAAGTTAAGCTCCTCTAGCCCATAATTGAAAGGATTTACCTTCATCCTATTTGAAAATGAGAATATTTGCCCATCTCCCATGCTCCATAGCCTTTCAAAGGTCCCTGATGATGGTTCCGTGATGACATCCACCAGTTCTTTCTGCACTTGAGGATCAGAGAGTTATAGATCCTGGGCTAGAAGAGACTTCAGGTGCCATCTAATATAATCGTGTTATTTTACAGTTGAAGAAACTGAGGCCCACGGGGATTGAGCAACTTACTTAAGGTCAAACAGGTGGTCAGTATCAGGGGCTGAGTCCAGAGTCTGCCTTCTTTCTCTTATGCCCATGCTGCTGATGACTTCAGCATCTTGAAGGCAGCTGGTGACTCCCTTTGGCCGAGGACAGTACTCTAAATCTTTCCGACTCACGCTTTCCGACTTGCCCAAGTTTGCCCTCTGCTGGCACAATAGGCCCTAAAAGAAACATAAGGCACCCCGGCCCTTTTTAAAAAAAAGCAAACACCATTTTTTTTCCTTCTTCATGATATGAAATGACTCATTCATAAAGGAGAGTAATGGGAATGTAATGGGAAATGTAGGTGATGTCAATAAAATTATACCAATGTCAAAAATCAAATACCAATATCAAAAAGATGTCTGTATAATTTTTTTAAGTGGCTTTAAGTGTCATTTCCATGACACAGTGAGGCTATGGGTAGGGCTTTAGTGGAGGACATAGTCAAAGCTCTGTGCAAGATTACTTGTGCTCCCCGCTGCCTTGACCCTCCCCAAAATGTTCTCCTTCATTTTCCCTCCTTCTAGTTCATGGATTTCCACAACAGAAATGCAACTTCTTGTTATAGAATGCTTCTCTACCATCTCATATACAATCACTTGTTTTTTTGTTTTTGTTTTTTTACAATTACTTGTTTTTGAATAAAATCTCTTCACCCATGGCTGTATTCCAGAGAAGAGTCACACCCTGCTAGGTCTCCAGGATACTAGAAGGTCTCATTTTCCTCCTTACCTTAGACCAGACCTAGAGTTTATTTTATTTATTACTTTCGTTCTGCACATGCCTACATAGATATCAAAGGCCATGAATATTATTACTGATTCTCTTCTTGGACCTTGTGCCCTGTGAATAACTGGACCACTCACCCTGTGGAGAGTTTATGAGAGAACAAGGACAAGAGTCACTCGTGAGGGGCAGGCATGGATGAGTTCTAATTTATACTGTTGGAGGGAATACCCCCAATGTTGAGATCACAGGTCCATTGGGGTACATCGTACCTACTGCTCTTTGTGGTATCTGATGGCTGCTTTGCCTTCTGTTGGCGTGGGTGATGGAAAGTTAATGGTGCTCCCACTCACCTGCCCCGGGGAGCTAGGCAAAGGTCCTATTATACTGTGCTGTGGGTCATATTAGCATCGATTTAAAGGATAGATCAGAAGGGAGAGGCAGAAAGACTTTCAGGCTAAGGCAACTAACCCATTCCACTCGTATCTCCCTTCTCTAGGTGCTGATCAGGAATGGTCTGGTGCCCATTGTGTCTCTGGAATGTGTTTCCTGCAAAGCACAGTCGGTGTACGAAGTGAGCAAGAGTTCCTATGTCTACCTGGAGGGGACCTGCCACAACTGCAGTAGTGGCTCTAAGCGAGGGGTAAGGAGCTCAGGACGAGTCTGGGATGCATATTATAGAAGGGGGCCGTGCAAGGACAGGACATGAAATGGTTGGTTACATTTTGTTCCCACCTTCTTCGTGTTTCTGTGTGACTGTGTGCATGCCTGTGTGTGCGCGTAGCTGTCACTTGTGTGTGTATGTTAGCCCTAGTGTCTCTCTCTATATATACCATGGTGATTTGTCTCACCCGGCAGCGATGGGCAGCCCAGACATTCAGCAACAAATCCCTCATCCTGGATGAGTCGACGACTTCAACAGGCAGCTCGGGCATGCGGCTGGTTCTGAGGCGAGGCGTGCTCCGCGACGGCGAGGGCTACACCTTCACCCTGACTGTGTTGGGCTGCTCTGGGGAGGAAGAAGGCTTTGCTTCCATTGACCTGTTCCCCAATCGCCCCCCTTTTGGGGGTTCTTGTCGCCTCTTCCCCCATGAGGCCGTCAGGGCTCTCACCACCAAGGTTCACTTTGAGTGTACAGGTAAGAGCATTTCTTGTCCCCAAGCCACCAGCAATAATCACCCTCTGGTTTCTCAAAAGTTTTCACCCCACAGAATACGCCCACCTTTTCATTTGTTGCCCTCATGTGGTCAGGAAGAATTCTGCCTGTTTTCCAAAGGGATATACCAAGACCCAGAGAGGTCAAGCAATTTGTCTAAGATCACACAGTGAATCAGGGTGGTGGGTAAAGGAGAGAGGTTGGGGAGAGAGCCCAGGAATTCTGATTCTCAGGTCATAAAGGACCACTTTTGATTCATCCATTCAGTAAACATGGAGTGTCTACCATATTTAGAACACTACTAGATCTTGGAGTCGGTGAGGGGGCCACATTGTGAATGCTAAGTTTAAATAAGATGAGGTCCCTGCTGTAGTGGAGTTTTTTGTTGAGTGGGGAAAAGGAGGTGAGGATAAAATACAAACACCAGTTTCTGTAATATACAGTCCTGCCCAGTAAGTGCATTAGACAGCTATGAGCAAAGTCTTGTAGATGCTTTTAAGGATAAGGTTGCCACCGAAAGAGAGAGAATTTAGAGCAAAGATGTGGAAGCAAGATAGCAAAGGAAATGTTGGGAGATCAGAGAATGGCCATTGGCTCGAAGACACAATGTATGCAGGGAAAGAAAGAATGAATTCAGGGAGGGCCTTGAATGCCAGATGAGGAAGTTTGACCTTGACTCAGTGGTCACTGAAGAGCCACTGAAGATTTTTGAGAAGAAGCATGATATGACCACATCTATGCACAAGGGAGATTATACCAGCAATGATAGATTAGCAGGAATTGCAATAGTCCAGGTAAGTTATAGTAAGGATTTATAGCAAAATGGTAGCAATGGGAAGAGAGGGGAGGTATAGGATAAGAGATTTCACAAAAGTAGAAGCAATAATACTTGGGAACACATTGGATGAGTGAGGTAAGAGAGAAGGAGGAATGAAAGGTAACCCCACTACTGCTGGCATAGGAGACTGTGGGAAGTGGTGCCGTGGGAAGAAATAGACAAGTCAGGAGGGTCAGGTTTAAGGGTAAAGACATCAAGCTCAGTTTTGAACATACTGAATTTCGGGTGCCAGTGAGACTTTCAAGTGGAGATATCATGTGGTCAGTGGGATATGTGGTTCCAAAGCTCAGGAAAGAGGTCAGATTTGGGAGTTTCCTGCATAATTGAAGCTTTGGAAGTGAATGAGATTGTCAAGAAAAAGATTACAGAGAGGGAAGAGGACCAGCGATAGACCTGTGTTCCCCAATGTAATCAACATGCACATTAAGGGCCTGAGAAGAAGACAAAGGAGTATTTAGAGAAGCAGGAGGAGAATGAGTAGAGCGTGGTATCCCAGAGGCCAAAGGAAAAAAAGAGTGCCCCATGGGAAGCACAGTTAACAGTCTTGAAAGCTACTTAAAGAGCATAGAAAGTGAGAACTGAGTTTTTTTAAGCTATTGGAATTGACAATTAGGAAGTCACTGGTGACTGTTGAGAGCAGGTTCAATGGAGGTGGTAGTGGAGGCAAAAACCCAACCGCTACGAATTGAGGACAGAGTGGGTAGTGAAGAAGTGGAGACATCAGGCATAGACAACTTTTAAAGAAGATTGACAGTGAAAGGGGAGAAATATGGGGTAGAAGGATCAAGGGTAAGTTTCTGATTGGGGAGACCTGAGCATGTTTGTAGGCAGAAGAGGAGCCAGGAGAGAGGCTGAGTTTGAAGATGCACGAGAGAGAGAGAGGGGATGATGAGTTCTGGAACAAGGAGAGAACAGGATTTCACAGTCTACCCAATTTCTGAAGTTCATCACTGAGCTCCATCTTTTTTTAAAGTTTTTCATAGAACAGGATAATTCTATTTCACCTCATCATTGTCTTGAAAGTCTCTTTAGCTCCATAATGTAGCCATCACAGAGCCATAACTATGGTGAGACCACTGGAGCTTTGCTCCAAGATGCTGACATCTAGGGGTTGCACTTTCTCCTTGAAGCAGTCCTACAGCCCCAGCCCAGAGGGGCCTGGTCCTCTCCCAGTGCCCACCTGCCCCTTCCGTGATTCCCAACATAGAGCGAACTGTCTTCTGTCTCCAACCCTGCTGCTGAATTTGCCACAAAATTAAAGATCATAGAGGGTAAAGACTTGAAAAAAAAAAATTGGAGTTGATAATTAGGAGGTCACTTGAGACTTTTTAGAGCAATTTCAATACCAAAAAGATGTCCAAATTCTTAGTTATGGCTTTGATCCATTTCCACATCTCCACTTCCCACTGCATCTACTTTCCAGGGTTGTTGTGAGGATCAAGTGAGATAATATTTGTAAAGTTCTTAGCACAGTGCCTAGCACATAATAGGCCTTAAGTGTTTATTTCTTTCCTTATCTTCCTTCTGTTCTCCACATAGGGTGCTGACTCTTGTCATGGTGTGTCCAAGGTAGGGTGTGGAGGAGGGTGAGATAGAGGGAGGGAGGACAAGGTAGGATGATCAGAAGTTCTGGGCTCTGGAGGGACAATGCTGCGCTATGGTTTTTGCAGGCTGGCTGGACACAGAGGACGAGGATGCTCCACTGGTGTATTCCTTACTTTTGCGGCGCTGCCGTCAAGGCTACTGCGAGGAATTCTGCATCTACAAAGGCAGTCTTTCTGCATATGGAGCTGTGTTGCCCCCTGGCTTTAAGACCCATTTCACTGTGGACCTCTCTGTGGTTGTGCAGGACCAGTTAGGCGCTGCTGTGGTAGCCCTGAACAGGTAAGGGGGCGAAGGAGCATTCTGAACCTTGGGGCACCAGCCTACGCAAGATTGTCTGTCATCCAGTCGGTTAGTCATTATACATTTATTAAACACCTACTGTATGCCAGGCACTGTACTAAGTAATTTGAGGGCCCCTTGTGGAACATCTCCTAAGCTAGGCACCCAAGGAGTTGGCAGAGATAGAGAGGAAGGGTTGAGATAGATGGCAAAAGATATCATTGGGGGAAACTTGAATCTTTGGGAAGCAGTATACAAACAAGCAGTTTGATTCAGTGGAGGGATGCTGGATTTGATATAAGAAGATCTGGGTTTGATTCCTGGTTCTGCCCCCTTCTATCTGTGTGAACTTAGTTGGCTAACTCCTCTGGACCTTGGTTTCCTAATCTGTTAAAATGAAAGGGGTGACTTTCATGACCCCCAGGGTCCCTCCCAGCTCTCCATCCATGATCCAAGTCAGATATGTTTCAGGATGAGCTTGTGAGCATTGAAAAGATGAAAAGAAAATGAATGTTCCATGTGGAGTAAGGCTAACTAATCATGGGAGGAGGTCTCCTGGAGAAGAGAGTGGGTAGAGCGATTTTTTTTGAGAGTGTGGAGGTCATGAGGATCTGCTGGGCATGTGCATTCCTCTGCCCAGCCTAGAAGTCTAGCTTCTGCTCTTGGGCAGTCATTGCTACCCAGGCCTCATCCTCACCCTTACCTGGCTGTTGCCTCCCAGGTCTCTGCTTATTACTTTGCCTGAGCCTTCTGCCGGCTTCCACTGTCTTACCCACTGGCTGTACAGCCTGACCGAGACAGTCCTGCCCGGGCTGGTGAAACAGGCCGACCCCCAGCATGTCATCGAGTACTCCTTGGCCCTCATCACCGTCCTCAATGAGGTCAGTGCTATCTCCACCCCTACCCTGGATGTGGGACCAAGGGAGGAGACAAGAGACTGGGCAGCCTCAGGGCAGTTGATCAATGTTATGGTTGAAATTAAAAAGATCGTTTCCTGAGTTACTTAGACTGATTTTGTAAAGGAGGGATCTAAAGTGGTTACCTTCTTCATTCCCTGACCACCACTGCAGATCAATCAATCAATAATCATTTATTAAGCTCTGTGCTAGGTGCTTGGGATGCAAAGACGAAAATGGAAAAAATCCCAGCCCTCTGTCAGTAGATCAGAGGCTTTTTTTAAAGATCATTAATTGCTCAGGGGAATTTGAGGTGTGTGTGAGGAGCTGTGTACAAACCCCAAGGTTTCTCTGTGCTCATATGAAGCACCTATTTCTTCTTGTCTCATCAGTATGAACAGGTGACATCTTCAGAGGAAGAGGCCAGCCATGAGAGGCACCTCCGTGTGCTGATGCGAAGAAATATTACTGAGATCCTTGTTTCCCTTCGTGTCAACACTGTAGATGATATTCAGCAGATTTCAGCTGCGCTGGCCCAGTGCACGGTATGCTAAGCCACCCTACTCCCTCTCCATACGCCTGTTTCCTCTCTACAAGCTCAGACCCATCCTGCAGGATGGATGCCCTAGGGAAACTGACTCAGGCTAGTATGTTTCTCCTGCAGGTTGGGTGGCTGAGAGGTAGCTGACCTCTCTTTTCATTAGTGTTTCTTTTAATCAAACTGAATCAGTACTTCTCAGATCTTTGATTATTTTGCCTTATCTGAGTGTTAGGGTAAGCTCTCGGGGTGCAGAGGTTGTCAGAAAGAACAAGGGTAATTGTGGTGAGCAGATGAGCCCACCATGGGAAAGAAGCCACCAAGGCAAAGATGAGAAGGGAATGGGGGATGGGGAACAATGAGGAGGTAATGATTCATAGTGTTAGGAAGCCAGGCGTGAGGGGCATGTGGAGTAGTGGAGGACCATGCTGTGAATGAGGGAGATTAATAAATGTGAAGGGTTGGGACTGATGATGAAGGAGGAGGTGATGTAGAACCTCACAAATCCTTTCTGGGGAAGAGAGCAATGGCACCTGTCTGCCCAGACATACTGGATACGGGAGGAAGGATGACAGGAGGGTGAGCCTATGTCACTGGGCTCTCTCCCTGCAGGTAGCAAGTAAGGAGTTTGTATGCCACTCTTGCCTGAAAAAAACCCTGAACAAGCTGGAGAACATGATGGCCATCCTGCAAAATGAGACCACGCAAGGCACAGTGACCCCCACGGCCATTGCGGACAACATCCTCAACATCACTGGTCAGCCAGGAAGGAAGCCTACCATAGGGAATGGGTGATGGCAGAGTCCAGGGAGAGGGCTGGAAAAGAAAATGGGGAAGGGAAAGCACTCCTTTCCTCCCAACAGGGACTTCCCTATCAGATTAAGGGTTTCCAAAGTCAGTGGCCATGTCTCCCACTTGCCACACGTTCTACTGAAGGTCCAGCCAAATGCTTTGCATGCTGGGACTAATACTTTGGGGCTGGCACTAACTGCCTCACTTTTTTATCTCCCTCAGGTGACCTCATTCACCTGGTAAACTCAGATACCCAAGACCTAGAGCCTACAGAGCTATGCAGCAAACCCCACACCCTTCTAGTGGCCTCCAAGGCTTATAACCTCTCATCTGACCTAATGCGAATCCTCATGAAATCTCGAGTGCTGAATGAGGAACCGCTGACCCTAGCGGGGGAAGAGATTGTGGCTCGAGGCAAACGTTCGGACCCCTTCAGCCTGCTGTGTTATGAGAACACTTCTGATTGCCAGTTTTCCATCCCACCTGCTTTCAACAGCACCTTCTCTGACCTCACTGACGTCATCCAGCTCATCTTCCTCGTAGACTCCAACCCCTTTCCCTTCGGCTACATCAGCAACTACACAGTCTCCACTAAGGTGGCTTCCATGGCCTTCCAGACTCAGGCAGGGGCCCAGATCCCAATAGAGCGGCTGGGCTCCGAGAAGGCCATTACTGTCAAGGTATCTAACAACACCAGCGGAGGGGGTGGGGACCAAGTCCTCTCTACCGACACTGCTATCATCCAGCCTCGCACATCTGTCAGCGCCATCATTGACCCTCAAAACCACAACCCTGAGGCTGGTCTGCACTTCCGACTTAACTACACTGTGCTGAATGGTAGGTATAGTGGGCTCAGTATCCTTGGGGGGGGGTGGTCTGTGACAGAGAATGTAAGGGCCCTAGCCCATAACAGAAGGAGGCAAGTCCTCGAGGGCAGTGGAACATTTCTCTTGTGGGCTTTTTTTTTTATATCCTTTACAACTGATTTGACATCCATTATATTATTTCTTCCTATTATCAGCCCTAGAATATAGTTACCAAATGAGTAAACTTTGTAAACCTTATAAATCAGCCAATCAACAAGATTCATTAAGCACCTACTGTGTGCCAGGCACCACTGGTAGGTACTGAGAATAAAGGTATGAAGAATGAAACAATCATTCCTTCTTGCAAGAAGCATGCATTCTAATGGGAGGCCACAACATATTTGAGTACATATTGAATAAATATAAAGAGGATAAATACAAAGTTGTCAGATGCAAGGTATTTAGGGAGAGAAGAATGGCAGTTAGTGGGGATCAGGAACAGTTTCATGCAGAAAGTGGTGCCAGAGCTGCTTGAAGGAGGAGAGGGATTCTGTGAGGCAGAGGTGGAGAGGGATTTCCAGGCGTGAGGGACAGCCAAGCGAAAGGCACAGAGACCGGAGATGAATTCTGTGAGTGACGAAAGCTAGTTTGGCTGAAGTGCAGAGTGAGGAATAAAGAGTGACGTCCAGTGAGGCTGGAAAGATAGGTCAGGGCAAGGTTGAGGAGGGCTTTAAAAGCTAGACAGAAGGGGCAGTATCTTAGAGGCAATAAGGAGTTACTGAGGATTGACACAGTCAAAACTACACTTAAATTAAATTGGGGCTGCTAACTATTATTAGGAAGCTCGAGAGATGAAATCTCCATTTTACAGATGAGCACATGGAGGTGCAGAGAGGTTAGATGACCTCTCCAAGACTGATTGATTCATAAATTCATTTGGCTTAGATCAAGACTACAGATCTCAGCTCTCCTAATTCAGTCTAGTGGTTTGTTGATTTGTTTGTTGTTGCTGGTTTTTGGTTGGTCTTTTTTGACAACACCATAAAAAATAAAAAAGCCATGTTTCTGGAATGTGGCAAAGAGGCATATTTATTGTTTCCCCCTGAACTAGGCAGCATGACACAGCAGATAGAGCACTAGACTCAGAATTTGGAAAGACCTGGGCTCAATTCTTGCCTTGGACATTTTACTAGCTGTATGAGCAAGTTACTGAGACTCAGTTTCCTTATCTCTGAAATGGGGGTAATAACTGCACCCTATCTCATAGAGTTATTGTAAGGCTCATATGAGATATTGTACATAAAATGTTTCTTAAAATTCTATATAAATATGAGATGTGATTAATAAAGCAGTTGGTTCCCCATAATAAAAAGTAATATGTATATTCATTGGAAATGCAAAAATAATGTCTCTTCAGCTTTGGAAAGGAGAGAGAACTACATGTTCCCTTCATCCCTCTGGGCCTGGTCCCAACTTTTCCTGGCTTGGCCCAGGTATCTTGGGAATTATCTGGAAAACAAAAGGAAAAAGGCAGCCAGGTGGTACAATAGATAGAGCTCTGGGCCTGGAGTTAGGAAGACCAGAGTTCAGATCCTGCGTCAGACACTTAACTAGCTCTATGACCTAGAGAAAGTCACTTATCCTCTACGTACCTCAATTTCTTCATCTGTAAAATGGGGGTGATAATAACACCTACTTCTCAGGCTTGTGAAAGTTTAATGAGATCACATATGTAAATCACTTAGTGTGGTGCCTGGCACATAGTAGGTGTTTAATAAATGCTTGTTTTAAAAAAAAAGGGAAGGAGACTATAGATCATTTACAGGGTCATTTATGAAAAGCCCCACTATTCAAATTCTGAATCCCTCCCACCTCCTCTATAAACACATGCCCATACTCACTTTCTCAAACCTAGGCTTAGTGCAAAGAATTTGCCCCAGTTTCAGATCATACCAGCTCACACACTGTCCTTGGCCCTGTGTCCTGGAGGTCCCAGGATCTGCTAGAGCCATGCCTGCCATGGGTCCTGGGGCTTCGCTGGGGTGGCTCAGCCATTGCAAAGGTAACTTTTGTCCCTGTGCCACGTCCCAGAGCGCTACCTGTCTGAGGAGCCCGAGCCCTTCCTGGCTGTCTATCTGCACTCGGCTCCCCAGCCCAATGAGTACAACTGCACGGCCAGCAAGAAGATTGGGTTAAAGGCATTGACTGGAGGTGACCACAGGCCTTACACCTTCTTCATCTCTCCAGGGTAAGGGCTTCTTTTCTGCACAGGGGCCCCGGGAAATGTTGTGTGAAGGAACAACTGAGTAGAAGAGAAGAAGAAATCAGAATACCTTCCATTCGGTGAGGCAGTCTAAGTTTTCCAACTGTTTTCATATGTACCCTGTGAGGAAAAACATCATCCCCATCTGACAGAGGAGAAAGCTAAGAAGTGACTTAGCCCTGGTACCACAGAGAGTTTGGGGTAGAATTCAGTTTCCTGATTCCTGTTCAAGTTCTTTTGTCATCCGGTCTCCCAAAGCAGAGTCTAAGTGGCTCCTCTATGGGTTCTCATGCTGGGGTTGTTGTTTTTTTTTTTTATAAAACAAGTTTAAAAACTTGTTTTTAAAAATATTTTTATAACTATTCCAGCATAATTGGTTTCCTTTGAAATCCTATATGTATATTTTATTTTATGCATTTAAAAATATCATCCTGGAGCATATTATTCTGAAAAGCTTTGCACACTTTGGAGAATAATGCCTTCTGAAAAGGGTCCATAGGCTTTGCCAAGCCCCCAAAGGGGTCCGTGACACAAAAAAGTTAAGAACCCCTGTACTCTAATCACAGCTGAAGTAATGAGGTCCTGGGGCTACAGCTAGAGGTAGAGCAGATATGGGAGCTATGGGTCCATAGAGAGATGGTCCAGGACACCTTTTCCAGGGTCCTTGAACTGTGACCCTATTTCTGCCTCTGCTGTCTAGGACGGACGATACAACAGCAAGTTACTACCTGAATATGACCAGCCATTTCCGTTGGTCCGAGGTCGAAGTGACGGTGGGCCTCTACACGTCGCTGTGCCAGTATTTCAATGAGAAGGAGATGATGTGGAAGACAGAGGGCATCGTGCCCCTGGAAGAGACCACCCCCAGCCAGGCTGTCTGCCTCACCCGCCACCTCACAGCCTTTGGTGCTAGCCTCTTTGTTCCACCCAGCTCCATCAAATTCATCATCCCTGTGAGTAATTTCCATTCCTTTAGGGTCTTTGCATTTGGGGCAAATGCTGTGGTTGCCCTGGGTGGGGAGAATGGGCTATGTGGAAATGAATTCCCTTTGGTTAACCCCAAGCTGGTATGTTAGCACTGGATAAGAAATGGAAAGTGGAAGGATGGGGGTAGGGGAGAGACAGGGGATTTCAGTTTGGTACAATTCCAAAAACATTTATTAAGTACCTACTACATACAAATAACTGTGCTAGGTGCTGGGGATACGGGGACAAAATCAAAACAATCTCTGCCCTCAAGGGGCTTACATTTTACTGGGGGAGGTATGACCACTACATGAATACAGATAAATGGGAGAGGGGAAGGGAGGAGATTAAGTATTTGCATAAGTATATGTGCCAAGCATTTGTGATCAGCCTTTTTTACAAATATTATCTCATTTGATCCTGACAACAGCCCTTCGAAGTAGGTAGTGTTCTTATCCCATTTTTATAGTTGAGGAAAAAATAAGTAGATACAATATTAAAAAAAAAAAGATTGATATAAAGTAGATACAAAGTATTTTCAAGAGGAAAAGGGCACTTACTACTGAGAAGCTGAATGAATCAATGAATCAATGAGTGAGTGAGTGAAAATCATTTCTTCATCATTTATGTGCCCGGCTCTGGGGCTCAGCACTGGGATCAGGAGAAATAGTCCCTGCCCCCTAAAGCTCAATGAAGACCAAGCAACCCAGAGATTTCAGGGATCCTTGCTTCAAGGAATTCTAATAAGAAAAGCTTAACAAGAGGATTACTCCATTTTAAAAAAATGTTCTCTGCTGACAAAAGGATTCACTGCAAGGCTTCTTTCAAAAATTCTCTCTAAGTTCATTTAAAATAGGAGTCTTTGGAGCCGCTAGGTGGTGGTGGATAGAGCACTGGCCTTGGAGTCAAGAAGACACTTACTAGCTGTGTGACCTTGGGCAAGTCACTTAACCCCAATTGCCTCCCCCCCCCAAAAAAAACCCCCAAAACAAAAACAAAATGGCTAGATGAAACAGTGGGGCAGGTAGGTGCTACAGTGAATAGAGCATGGGCCCTGAAGTCAGGAGGACCTGAGTTCAAATCCAACCTCAGATACTTACTAGCTGTGTGACCCTGGGCAAGTCACTTAACCCTGATTGCCTTCGAAATAAAGTAAAATAGGACTTTTTTTTTTTTTTTTAGGAGAAGGGGGATTGTGAAGGCAAAGAGACTAGTGTGGCTGGAAAGTAGTTAAGACGGATGGGGACTGCTTGGGGGATCAGGGTCCTGAGTGGGTGTGGTGGTCATGATGGAGCTAGCGTCAGCCTTGGCCTGACAATCTTTCTCTTGGCACAGGACCCAGCTCCAGGCATCAACTATATTGTGCTCCTAACTTGCGCTGTGTGCCTGGCCACCTATGCAGTGACAGCTTTGATTGTCCACAAGCTGGACCTGATGGACGTCAGCCGAGTGAGCATCATCCCCTTCTGTGGGAAGAATGGTCGCTTCAAGTATGAGATACTTGTCAAGACTGGCTGGGGCCAGGGCTCAGGTGAAAGCAGGCAGAGACAGCTGGACTGGCAGCAGGGGCCGGGAGGGGGCGGGCAGGGACTGGGTGGGGGCTGTGGGAAGGGTTAGCCTGGCCTTGGGGCCGAATGTGGACAGCCTAGCTTAAATCCCCTAGCACAGAGGCAGTTAGGGAGTACAGTGGATAGAGTGTCAGGAAGACCTGAGTTCAAATGTGGCCTCAGACACTTAACTAGCTGTGTGACCCTGAGAAAGTCACTCAACCTTTGTTTGCCTTATTTTCTTCGGCTATCAAATGGGGATAATAACAGCATTACCTCCCAGGGTTATTGTGAGGATGAAAATGAGATAATGTATGTAAAGAGCTTTGAAAACTTTAAAGTACTCTGCAAGTGCTAGCTATTATTATTATTATTATCATTATCATTATTGTTATTATTTACCATGCCTGCTTACCACCTTCTCACCTTTACTAGATCACCTTGGCCTTAACCCTCCTTATTTAAGGGCTGAGATCTTGAGGACAAAATTAGAATCAGAGTTGGAAGAGATCTTGGAGGCCATCCATCCTGTCCTACTTGAACAGGAATCCCTGACAAATAGTCTTCCAACTTCTGATTGAAGACGTCTAATAATAAGCAATTCAAACGCTCCTGAGGTAGACCTTTCCACTTTCAGACAGCTCTAGTTATTAGACAGTCTTTCCTTATTTTAAGCTGAAATTGATCTCTCAGTAACTTCCACCCATCAGTTCCACCCATTGATGATTCAATGATCCATTGGTTTCTAGTTCTGGCCTCTGGGGCTAAATAAAATCAACTGACTCCCTCTACCATGGGACAGCTCTTTAGATATGTGAAGATAGCAATCGTGGGCCCCCTGAGTTCTCTCTAGGCTAAACAATCCTGATTTCTCTCAACTGATCCTTACAGGACAAGGTCCTGAGTCTCCTCGCCCTCCTGGTTGCCCATCTGAACATAATCCTGCTTGTCAAGGTCCTTCTTAGAATATGGCTCTCAGGATTGAGCCCAGTGCTTACAATGCGACCAAAGCAGAGTCGAGTGCTATGGGACTCCCACCACTGTCCTTCTTCCAATGCTAAATTTTTGGAAGGCTGCCTGAGAATGAATTCATTTTTCACTGATATTCAACTCATTGAGTTTGCATTCCACTGAAGTCCTCAGGTCTTTTTTGAATGACCTAACTGCTTAGGTTTGCCTTCCTTGTTTTGAGTTTGTACAACTGAATTTTTTTAAGCTATGTGTAAGATGTTACGCTTGCCCCTATTATACTTCATCTTATTAGTTTTAGCCCACAATTCCAAACTTATTTGTTTTAGCCTGTTGAGATCATTCTAGATCTTGATTCTGTTGTTCAACTCGGTAGTTAGGCTCATAGGATCTGGACTTTAAAAGACCATCTGGTCCAGCCCCTTCATTATACAAAGGAGGAAACTGAGGCCCAGAGAGGGGAGGCAGCTAACCTGGGTTACACTGGTAGTAAGTATTGGAGCCAAGATTCAAACTCAGGTCTTTCTAATAAGTTCAGTTGTGTTTCCTTTAGACCACAGCAGTCTCATAGCTTTTGTAGCATCCATCAATTTGATAAGCACATTATCTTCATACGAGTCACTAATGAAAATATTGACAGGCCACACATGGCACTTATTAGAGATCTTCGTTCAGGATAAAAGCAGTTCCTAATTCTTGCTATTTAGGTCAAGTTGTTCAGGGGTTTATATAATTCAGCTGCATCTTCTAGCCCACATCTCCCTATCCTGTCTACAAAGATATTTTAAGAGACTTGATAACAAAGAGTCCTTACTGGAATAAATCCAGGTAAATAATACTAATGTCTGTGACCTTCCCTAAGCCACCAGTTTAGTAACTCAGTCAAAAGGGAAAATGGGCTTAGCCTGGCATGAGGGCAGAGACCCCAGGGAATACAAGTTTTTCATGGCAAGGGAGGCATGCTTCACCACTGGTCCACTGAGAGGAAGCCTGAGGTAGTGGATGTAATGCTGGGTTTAGGGTCAGATGACCACAGTTCAGATCTCAACTCTGACCCTTCAGTTTCCTCATCCATAAAAACAAGTGGGATTAGGCTAAATGACCTCAAAAGTCCCTTCTAACTCATCATTGGTGATCCAATGATCCAGTGCATTGATCAGAGCTCTGTAACCTTTCATTGGTGTTTATTTACTGTTACATTTGTATGGTTATTGTATAAATCATTCTCCTGATCCTCCTGTCTTTGCTCTGCATCAGTTCATACAAGCCTCTGAATTCTTCACATTTATTATTTCTCATGGCAAAACAATATTGCATTACATTGTCTGTGGTAGATCATCACCAAATCTCAGTGATACCTGTGCAATTACAATTCATCTTTTTGCACAAAGATCTCTAGTTTGCTTTATTGCCCATACCTTGTGTATAGAAATCTGAGCTCATAAATATCATTCCTGCCCCTCTTCCAGGTTCCTAGCTCCTGCTGGGCAGCTCCAAAGCTCTTTTTAGCCCCTCCAATCCCCCAGACTGATGGCTTTCACTGTGCCTTTGCAAAAACCCTCTCCCTAGCCTCTCTATGCTAAAGTCTCTTTACCTTCCCTCCCTCCCTGTCTAGGCACAACAGCCCATGTGGGCATCACCCTTTATGGGGCAGATGGCAGAAGTGGACACCGGCACCTGGATGGAGAGAGTGCTTTCCATCGAAACAGTCTAGATATCTTCCAAATTGCCACACAGCGAAGCCTTGGAAGCGTGTGGAAGATCCGAGTGTGGCATGACAACAAAGGTGTGGGGAGAGGGCTTGGCCAGGCGGGACCTTCCTTCCTCTGCCCACCATGAACCGGTTGCTTCCTCTGAGCCATGGCCCAAACCTCGAAGGCTTCCTGTCTTCTCTCCTTAGGGCTTAGCCCAGCCTGGTTCCTGCAGCACATTATTGTCCGGGATCTACAGACTGGCCGAAGCGCCTTCTTCTTGGTGAATGATTGGTTGTCAGTGGAGACTGAGGACAATGGGGGTCTGGTGGAGAAGGAAGTCCTAGCAGCCAGTAAGCCTTCCTCAGCCTCTGGATCCCTTCTTTAAGTCTTTTCCCCAGCTTCCCTTCCCTTGATTTTAACCCTATACCTTCCATGAGTTTTCTGATTTTTCACTTTTCAGATTCTTGTTTCCATCCAAGAAAGAAACCCCCATGCTTGTGATACATCTCTGTCTGTGTGACAGTAAGCATGGGAGTAAGCGTTTGGGTATGTGAGACTGAGGAACATAGGTTTAGAACTGGAAGGAATTTTAGAGGCCAGCCATTGCGCCCAGTCTTCTCATTTATAAATGAGAAAACAGAGAGAGGGGTTAAGTGACTTGCCCAGGGTCACACAGCAAGTGCCTGAAGGGTAATTTGAACCTAGGTCTTGCTGACTCCATGTTAAGACCTCTATTCACTATTCCACACTGTGTTGAATTGAATGTGTATGTAAGGGGGAAACTAAGTGTGTGTGAGAATGAATATGTTCATCTCCCTTCTAACCTTGGTGCCTTTCCTTTCCCCCTTTCTGTGTGCCCACTAGGTGATGCCACCCTGCGCCGGTTCCCGCGGCTGCTGACAGCAGAACTCCAGAGAGGCTTCTTTGAGAAGCACATCTGGCTGTCATTGTGGGACCGCCCCCCACGAAGCCGCTTCACTCGGGTCCAGCGGGCTACTTGCTGTGCTCTCCTCATCTGCCTCTTCCTAGGTGCCAATGCTGTGTGGTATGGAGTTGTGGGAGATGTCAATCACAGGTGGGTACTTCTCCCCCACCCCTCCCCTAGTCATCCTGGGCAGTAATATCTCATCTCCAACCCTTCCCAATGATATCCCCCAAGGTGAAGTGGCCAAGGTTCATGCCATCAGGTCCGTTCATCTTCCAAATACACACTCCTTCAAGGATAGACAAGGGTAGGCAAGAGATAGACTTCTCATGCTCTCCTGTGGCAGTACCTGCTCCACCTCATTATCAGAGACTTTCTTCCTTTTGGTTTTACCTAAACCTCTCTGGCTTCTGCCATATTTTCCTATTACTTTTTTCTCTGTCTTTTTAAATTTTAAATCTTTTATTCATTTTAAACTTAAATACAAAATGAAAAAAAGAAAAAAAGAAGAGCATTTCCATGTACACAGAAGAATATAAGAGAAGATTCAATATAAAACAGTAAATTTCCATTTCATGAAAAACCTATGTACTGAATCCTACACATCGTTTTCAAAGCAACTCAACTTTTCTATGCTTCCTTCTAGGTTTTCTTTTTTTCTCTCCTGTGTACTTTTTATTTTATTTTTGTTCTCCCTCCCTCTGTCCTCCCCTTGCTGTAGAGAAGGCTACAATTAAATGCGAATATATATCCATATACATACATATCTACAAACACACACATATACATATGTATATATGTATATATACATGCACATACACCTATACATGTATGTAAGACCATGCTATGCATATTTCCATTTGTCAGTTTCCTCTCTGGAGGTGGATAGCCTCTTCCTTCATAGGTCCAAGTCTTTCCATGTTTTTCTAAATGAACCAGCTTGTCATTTCCTACCTCATGGCAGTATTCCATCACAATCACATCCTATCTGAAAGCTTGTCTATGAAAGTTTCTTCTTGATTTTCTGCTTTCCCTCCAATCCCAGCTATATTAATTTTATTTATGCAAGAAATTTTTAATTTAAAATAATCAAAATTATCCATTTTACACTTCAACAATGGTCTTACCTTGTAATATTTAAGGTCTGGTACTGCTAAATCTCTTTCCTTTACATTTTTCCTTAATTTCTTTGAAATTCTTGACCTGTTTGTTCTTTCAAATGAATTTTCTTATTATTTTTTCTAACTTGTAAAATATTTTTTAGTAATTTAATTGGGATGGTATTGAATAGGTTAGTTAAGTAAAATTGTCATTTTGTAGATTATATTGACTTTACCTACCCATGAACAATGAATATTACTCCAATTATCTAAATTTGACCCTATTTGTATAAAGAATGTTTTAGCTACTACCTTTTTCTCTGTGACAAAGTGATATAAATCCCCTCAGAACTGGGCCTGGAATCAGAAAGACCTGAGTTCAAATTTGGCCTCTGACATTTACCAGCTGTATAACCCTGGGCAAGTCATTTAACCTGTCTGTCTCGGTTTCTTCAACTGTAAAAGGGGAATAAAAATAACACCCCCAGAGTTGTTGTGAGGATACAAATGAAATAACAATATAAAGCACTTAACATAGTACCTGGCACATAGTAGGCCCTTAATAAATGCTTGTTTCCCTCCTTCCTTGCAGCAATGTACCCATTTCCAGCCTGATCCCTTTAAGTGTGGACACAGTGGCTGTTGGCCTGGTGTCCAGTGTCGTTGTCTACCCCCTCTACCTGGTCATCCTCTTTCTCTTCCGAATGTCCCGGAGCAAGGTAAGGATAGGACCAGTGGCAGGGTAGACTTGAGACAGAGGGACCAGGACCTACAGGAGTGGGACGGGAGGGGGAGTTACCCTTTTGTAGGGACAGAGTGGATTCGAGGGCCAATCCTTTATTGTCGATGGGATTTGCTGCCCAAGTTCATTCAGTCTTCTGCCCTGTTCCAGCTCACTAGGACATACGATATTTCTACTTAGAAGCAGAGAATTGAACAAGCTGATCTCTAGGAAAGGGCAAAGGCAGCTGCACTATTCAATTGGTCAATAAACATTTATGAAGCACCTACTATATGCCAGGCGCTGTGCAAAGTGCATCAGGCTGAGTGCCCTTCTTCCTACAGGTATCAGTAAGCCCTGACCGCAGCCCTGGGGGGCAGCAGGTGCTGGACATTGAGAACTACCTGGAGACATCGGTCTTAGACAGTTCCTTCCTCACTTTGTCTGGGCTCCGTGCTGAGGTGATGGGGACTGGGCATAGACCTTGCATGTGGCCTGTCTCCTTGTTACAAGGAGCCTGGCATGGCTGTTCAGCAACTGAGAGCCCATGTGGAAAGAGCCTTGGTCTCAGGGACCCCAAAATCACAGAGACACAGAATGTTCCAGCTGGATGGAATCTCGGGAACTGTCTACTCCCACGCCCATTCCCCAGTCAGTCAACCTTGGTTCAAGTACCCGCCTCTGGGCACTTTCTAGTTATGTGACTGTGAATGATACATAACCTCTCCGTGCCTCAGTGCCTCATTTGTAAAACAAACAAACAAACAAACAAAAATCCCTTACCTTGTCTGCCTTGCAGGGTTGTTGTGAAGAAGACATTTTGTAAACCTTATATTGCCATATTTTATTACTGTGAGAACTCACACTTGATGCTGAGGCTCTCCGGTTAGGTCCCAGTGACCCCCAGACAGGGGGCTTTTAACCTTTTGTGTATCCTGGACCCCTCTGGCAGTCTGGTAAAGTCTACTGACCCCCTTCTCAGATTAATGTTTTTAAATTCATAAAATAAAACATAGGATTACAAAGGAAACCAATTACCTGGAAATACAATTTTTTAAAAATGTTCATGTATCCCTAAGATGTTGGCAAAGACCGTGATTCTCCCTGGCCAGATCATATCTCTGAGATGCGCTGTGTTCTTCTCCACAGGCATTTTCTGGACAAACTAAAACAGATTTGTTTCTGGATGATTCTAAAAGGTGGGTGCCCCCAGAGCAAAATCATGTTGAATTCAGGCAGATGTGAACATGCATTCAGGTATCACGTCATGCATAAATGGCTGCCTGGATTCTGTGTATATTTTTTCCCCACATGCCATGTGTGCATTGCTCTTCTATGGTCCCATGCTGTCTGCCTGTGGAGGACGTGGTTTGTGTCACTTGCATGGTTCCTCTGGGTTTGGTCAGGTGGATATGTGTGTTTGTCAGGATCTCATGTATTCCTCGGGTGGGTGTGCTTGCTTCTCACAGCCTGATGCGCTGGCAGTCCAGTGATGGCACTCTTAGCTGGCCAGACCTTCTCAGTGACCCTTCCATCATGGGTAACACCCTTCAGAGGCTGGTACGGGCCCAGACTGGAAACACTCAGGCCCTGGAGGTCATGGAAGAAGATGGTCTCTCCCTGGGCAGCCCCCCTTCCCAGACCAAGTACTTCTCCACCTCAGGTGAGTGGGTAGGCCTTAGTTTGGGATGAAGAAAGACACATAATTTCTTAGGATCATAGCACCCCCTTTATTCTGATGGAAAACCAAGGCAGGGGTGCAAAAAACTAAGGGAGGGAGGATTTCCTGTTTCAGCTTTCCCATGAAAAAAGAGGATGTTTCTGTACTGGAAACATTAGCTTTAGCAATAAGAGAGGAAAAAGACATTGAAGGTATTAGAACAGGCAAAGAAGAAACAAAGCTATCACTCTTTGCAGATGACATGATGTTATACTTAGAGAATCCCACAGAATCAAGTAAAAAACTACTTGAAATAATAAACAACTTTAGCAAAGTTGCAGGCTATGAAATAAACCCATATAAATCATTGGCATTTCTATATATTACCAACAAAGCCCAACAGCAAGAGATAGAAAGAGAAATTCCATTTAAACTTACTGTAGACATTATAAAATATTTAGGAGTCTACCTCCTGAAACAAAAAAGAGGATGTTTCTAGGTTGAGCCTTAGACAACCCCCCAGTCTTTCTAGCTATATCCCTAGCAGTTCTGAGCCATTTGGGAAAAGTGATAGCTCATCCTCTGGGTGGGATGGGGGGGGTGCTGGGAGAGTGTGAGTGATGGATAGGGGTCACAGAGCTTGGCCTGACCCTGACTCACACCCAACATTCCTCTGCTGATTCTTCTTCCTCTAGACGAAGATCTGATCCGACAGATACTTGCTGAGGGGGACAGCAGCGTTGCCCCTGCTAGAGACACCCACCTGGAAACGGATCTCCTCACTGGCCTGTGAGTGAAGTGGGAGCAGGATATCATCTTGGGGAGTGAGGCAGAGATGGAACAGGCCGGGAGGGGCAAGACCTTCCTGGGCTCAGCTTTTGGGTTGGGGGGCAAGGCAATACGTCTGTGGTATAATGGGAAAGAGCTCAAAATCTGATTCTCTTGACCATTTCCCAGCTCCTTTCTCCAAAGGAATTAGCACAGAGGAATTAGCAGTGATTTGGAAAGGGAGTCCATCTTGCCATGTTAGTCTGATAGGAACGTGGAAACATGTGTGGACAGCAATCCAGAGGGTAGGACCTACAGAAAGAACTGCCATCTAACCAGCAGATTTCTAACCTATCCACTGGTCAGGTGATTGCTTATAATAAATAGATAAATCCTGGATCTCCAGCAAGTGTGTGTGTGTGTGTGTGTGTGTGTGTGTGTGTGTGTGTGAATAATAAGGAAGGGACTGGGAATCCTTTACTTGGCAGGACAAAACATCATTCCAGTCTTACCAGGAAAAATCTTTTTTATTCTCACCATATTCATACTTTATATAGTTTACATATATTTTCTCTCTATTTATATAGAGCATGAGCTCCTCGCCAGGAGGGGTAGTTTCATTCTTTGTATTTGCGTCCCCTATGCTTTGCCCAGTGTCTGTCACAGATTATAGGCTCTTAATAAATACTTTTTGGTTAATTGATTGGATCCCTATCCAGAAGGGCCTGTCTTCTGTCCAACTGAGGTCTGGATCACGCAGATGAGTTAAAGACCACAGAGCCCAAGGCATGACAGTAATGTCCCCGAGCCTTGCTATGACGCTGTCATTAGGTCCACCTGTCTCGGAATAGCTGATACCAGAGACCTCTTGGTAACTCAGTAACTGACTTCATGCTTCAGCAAGGAGGATAATTGTAGGGTCTTCAGGTCCTTAGGAGGCTTCTGTAGTGAACACCATTATAGTGAGGTCCCTGCATCAGCATTGCGGAGGCTTTCTGTGGTGCCTTCTTTTCCTCCAAAAGGAAATCTCCTCATTTCACAGGTGGGAAGAATAAAACACAGAAAGATTTAATTACCCAACTGAGGTCTGAACTGGGATTAGAGCCCACCCCTATCTGAAAGCAACTGCTCTTGAAGTTATTTCTTTGAGAGATAAGAGAGTTGGATGTGTCCTCTTCCATCCGTCTGATCTCATCACTCCTTCCTGCCCCCTCCCTGCACTAAGGTGAGCTCATAGCTTGTACCCTTTCCCCAGGTCTGGCTCTCTGGGGGCAAAAACTGAGACACTGATGCTACAGAGGCTGAATGAGAAGGGACTGTCCCCCGTGGCCCCCCCAAAGGAGCTGTTCCAGTCAGCAAAGTTCACCAGAGAAGGTAGGCCTCCTGGCACACCGTGCCCTCAGTCCTTTCCCTCTAGCCCCTTTCCTTGCCATGTGTGTGACTGGGCTCCACCTTGTCCCCTGCAGGGCTGGCTGAGGGTCTGCAGAAGCGGCTGCTTCCTCCGTGGTGTGCCCCCCTTGCCCATGGGCTCAGCCTCCTGCTCGTGCTGGTGGCCGTGGGCATCTCGGGCTGGATCGGCACCGACTTTACGTCCAGCGTTGGCGTCATGTGGCTCATCTCAGGCATCTTCAGCTTTCTGTCTTCATTCCTGGTCTGGGAACCTCTCAAGGTGAACGTGTCTCCCGTCCCCATTCTCTCCCTCTCTCCCGCCTCTCTTTGTCTGGCTGCTTCTCTTTTCCTTCTTCTCCTACTCCCTACCTCTGCCTTGCTCTTCACCACCGCCCCTTTCCTCTTCCTTCTGTCTGTCTCCACTCACACCCACCCACAAGCCAACACATGCATTCCCACCTGGAGGGGCAGGTGCCTGACCCCCTTGCCCTACTCCGCTCCTCCTGCTGGAGCCAGAGCCACGGAAGAGGAGGAAAGGCCCCACGAGCTGGAGGCTGACCTCTTCCTCCCTCGGGTCCCCAGGTCCTGCTGGAAGCCCTCTACTTCTCTCTAGTGGCCAAGCGGCTCCACCCAGAGGAGGACGACACTCTGGTGGAGTGTCCGGCCGTGGAGCCCGTGTGTGAGCGGATCCCCCGAGTGCGGCCCCCGCAGGGCTTTGCCCTCTTCCAGGCCAAGGAGGAGGCTCGGAAAGTCAAGCTACTGCACAGGATGCTCAAGGTGACCTTGGACTTGGCCAGATGGTTTCATTAGACCTCTCCTTGTCCCTGCATCTGCCACTGCCAGCAGGTCCAGCCTCAGAGCAGGAGGGGGAGAGGCTGGTGGCTTCTGCTCCTTGCAGAGGTAGCCGCAGGACTCTGGCGCTTCTGCCTCCCAGACCTCTCCACCTGCGTGTCCCACCTCAAACTCAACATGTCAGACGAATAGCATTATCTTACCTGCCAGTCTGCTCCTCCTCCAGACTTCCCTGTTGCTATTAATGGCACCAGCATCTTCCCCGTCACCCAGGCTCGAATGAAACACGGGTGTCATTTTCCACTCCTCCCTCTCCCTCACCACCCACACCAATCAGCTACCAAGTCTCCTTGCTTCTCTTCCTTTGCAATATTTATCACATCCTTCCCTTCCTTTCCATTCCCATGGCCCCATCCCCCATCCTGGATTAGGGCCCCATTACATCATTCCTATACAGTAGTCTCCTAACCAGTTTTCTGGATCAAAATCTTTCCCCCTCAAATCACTGTGAACATGCTGCCAAATTAATCTTCCTATATCACTTTTCAAAAGCTTTCAATAGTTTCCCAATGCATACAGAATAAAGTTCATATTTCTTAGCCTGGCATTCAAGGCCCCTCTATCAGCTGTCTTTTCAGTTTTATCTCATGTCCCTTCCCTACACACTCTAGCCATACTGAATAATTCAGTGCTTTACACACATGCACACACACATATGCATGCACACACATATACATACATGCACATACACACAATAAAGCAAAATAAATATACATATGTCTAAAGTAGTTAAGAAATAAACCATTGGGGTAGATGAGAGACCAATTCTATACCTCATACAACTAGCAAATACGGTATCTTCTGGAGCCATTTGGAATAGGATAATGGGATTTGGAAGGAGGCATTGGGGAGCAAGTAGAATTGACCAGAGGCTAGGCATGAATATTCCTAGCTACCAGGTCCCCAGGGTAAGGGGGTGGGGTGGGGAGGTGAAGTCGGAATCTCTGTTACTCAAGGGCAGGAGGTCCCTGATGTCCACTGTAGTATTTGGGGGCTCTCTCAGTCCTTGGTGACTGCTCACAGCCTTCCCCACATCTTCAGAATTTTCTGGTGTACATGCTGTTCCTGCTGGTGACCCTCCTCACTAACTATGGAGACGCTTCAAACCATACCCACGCCTACCGTCTGCAGAGCTCCATCAAACAAGAGCTGGACAGCAAGGCCTTCCTGGCAATCACCAGGTAATCGCCCTGGAACCACTGCAGGCTCATCTTGTCTGGCCCCCAGCCTTTAGGCAGGACCCCATGAAAACCGCCTGAGGCAGAGGGGCAAAGCCGTCCGAAGCAGAGGGCAAAGTCATAACTAGGAATATTTTCTCTCGGGGTAAGAACGGTTAAAGTATGTGTCAGGGAGGGAGAATGGAGAATAAGAGGGAAAGACGGTGGCGGCAGTCCAGAGAATTGTCCAGCTGAGCGTACAGTTGTGATGGGAGATGGGCACCCCGGCCACAGGACGCTGTGTAGGAGCAGTGGTTGAGAGCCTAGATTCTGATGTGCCACTCTCTCTGTGTCCTGAGCTCCCTATCTATCTGCACAGGAGGAGCTCTAGCCTTGGAATGCCCTTAGGGGAGAGCCTCTGCCTTCTCCTTCGGCACCTGTTTCCTCATTGTGAGGGGCTCTGGATTTATGTCAAGTTGTAATTTTTCTGTCTTTTACTGCAGCTTCTTTTCACTTCCATCTTTCACCACAGTAGGAAACAGTAATTAATCAATAAGCATCTATTAAGTGTCTACTGTATACCAGGCCCCTTCCAATATAATGCAGGCTCACTCCACCTGAGATTGGCCCAATCGATGTCATATCCCCACACATAGCCTTGTTACCATAGTCTGGAAGGCAGGGAGCACTTTCGGCAGGAAGGTAGCAGCCGTGGCACTGCAGTGCATGCCGGTAAACCCTGTGACTGGAGGAGGCTGAGGCAAGCGGGGATTGAGTGTGGGAGTTCTGAGTTGTAGTAGGTGTCTACACTAAATCCCTCACCAATATAAGGAGCACTAGGGAGTAGGAGGGGAGTAGGGCTCCTCACTTGGCTGCTTAAGAAGGGTTGAACCAGCTCAGGTTGGAGAATGAGCAGGTCCAAGCTTTTGTGGCAGTCAACAGCGGGACTGAGTCCACAAGTGGCCGCTGTACTTCCAGCCTGGGCGAGATAAGGAATCTAGTCTCCCCTGAGTGTACAGGGCTGGAGGGAAGACAGGAAAGCAGCAGTTAATGCTGATAACCCAGAAGAAGAAGGCACCAACCTCTCTCCCACTCTGAGGCTACCTGCAGCCAGCCTATGAAGGGAGGTTAGCCGAGCTCCATGAGACCTTTGTGGGGGAGCAGGGTCATTTCGGGGAGTCTGGATACTTGCATGGCTTTCCCTATGTGTCTCTATGTGTATCCTTCTGAAGAATTCTTTGCTGTGAACCATAGTGTGATTTGCTGAAAAGGAATGATGCTGTATTGCAAAGTCAAAGACAGCCATATTCTTGGAGATCTTGGCCCTTCTGGACCCTTCCCGGTTCTTTGTGGGTCCCAGGACCTGACAGTCAGAGGTTGTGTACTTTGACAAACATTACTATTATTATGTTAATTAAGCCTTCCCCTGAAGTTTGGGATTTGAGCTCTGGGCTGTGACATCCCTCCACAGGGCCCACCCCGTGAGTCTGGCCAAATCCTGGAAAGGAAAAGAAGTGATTTGAGTCTTGGTTTTTCCAGTATTGATACCACCAAGAAAGCATTCAGCACTTTGTACAAATGGTCTTTTCAGTTGCTCTAGAACCACCTTGAGAATAGAAAAAATGTTGAGGCTTTTAAATACTTTTAGTCTACCTTTTTCTTCTGCAAGTCCAAAGTCACTGTGTCACAGTGGTTGCCCTTTTCTTGGCCCTGGGAGAAACCAGTGCAATGTAGTGAAATAGAATTCGTGACTTAGAATTGGGAAGACTCGAGCTTCAGTTTCTTCATCTGTAAAATGAGGATAATAATAGCACTAACCTCTGAAGGTCATTGTGATGTATGTAAAGTTCCTGGCAAACCTTAAAGTGCTAGCTATAATTATTACTGAAGAAGGGAAATTTGCCTCCTGAATACCCAATCTCTAACTAGTTAGCTGTCTCCTTTCACATATTCCTTTGGGATTCAATATTTTTTCCCTATTGTCTGGTTCTCCTGAGATTAGTGTCCCTTTCCAGCTGTGGGCAAAGGATTTTGATTTTGATTTTTCAGGGAAGAAAAGAGTGAGAATAGTGTTTGAAAATTAGATTCTCATTTCTATTTGTTTAGTTGTTTCAGTCATGTCCAACTCTTTGTGACCCCATTTGGGGTTTTCTTGGCAAAGATACTGGAGTGGTTCGCCATTTCCTTCTCCAGCTCATTTTACAGATGAGAAAACTGAGGCAAACAGTTAAATGACTTGTCCAGGATCACACAGCTAGGAAGTGTCTGAGGCTGGATTTGAACTCAGGTCTTCCTGACTCTGGGCCTGATAACTCTGGTTTCTAGCTGGATCTTAAAGGTTTCTGGATTTTGGTGAGGGTTGAGGGGAAATGAAGTGTTTGTCTCTCTTCCCATCCACGTTCAAGGCATCCCTGGATTCTTTAGCTCCCCGTGTAGTTTCCGTTACCTTTGGGAAGATCACTGCTCACAAGCAAGTTGCTTTTTATCTCCCTCCTGCTCCCCCAAACCTCAGGCTTGCTCTTTGATGACCTGAACTATGAGGCCTCCACATCTCAGGTCTGTGAGTGTACCCACAGCTCTGCCCTACCCCAGCCCAGCTCAATCCCTGCAAGATCCCCCAAATACAGTGTCAGATCTCTGTAAAGACCAATACAGCCCAGCTGTTTTGTTTTGTTTTGTTTTTTTGTCCCGGGCAGCTTTTATAATCCAAATTGTAACGGCCCAGGAACATAGCTCCCCCTTCTAAGTGTTGCTCATGGAAAGTAATGACCCCCGCATTTCCCCAAAAGCTCTGACACAGAACCAGTCACTAGGAAGAGGTGGGGCTGTGTCCGGACTGGTCATTGCTGCCATCAGATGATGTTAGGTCATGAGTGGAGGGGTAATCAGAAAGCAGGCCCGGCTACGATCTGTGTGACCTGGGAAAGGGTCCAGTGCCTTGTGGTTAGACCTGGCCTCTCAGGTGGGAATGAGTGGATGTCACTGTGTCTGATGCTGGTGGAAGAGAGTAAGTTTCATTTTTCTGGGTTGGGGGGAATAGGTCAGATGAATTCTGGGTGTGGATGTCACGAGTGCTGCTCCCCTACATCCATGGGAACCAATCTGCCCTGGAGCTGGGGCCCCCACGGCTCCGGCAAGTTCGGCTACGGGAAGGTGAGTTGAAGACAGCGAACCCTTCCCTCCCCCGGCCCGCCCTCTCCTCTTGGACCACTTCCTCCGCTTGTCCTAACCTCCCCCGGTTTGGGGCCCTGTTTCAACATCACCCTCTCCCTCCTCCCCACCAAAGCATTCTCACCCATTCACATTATCCCTCCTGGATCAGATAGAATGGGATCCTTGAGCGGAAGAGGGGGTTTGGGGTTTTTTGTTTTGCTTTGTCTTTGTAGTCCATGTTTAGTACATAGTGAGCACTTAACAAATGCTAGTAGAATGACCGACTGCTTTTCAGCACTCTGCCCGGATGCTCTGGGAAGCGTAAGAAGAATGTGTACCACATCCAGCAGCTTCAGCACCAAGGATTACGAGGTTGGCTGGGAAAGCAGCTCCCCAAACGGGACAAGGGCATGGGCCTATTCAGCACCTGACTTGGCAGGGTGAGAACCCGGGCACGGCGGCTTCCTCCCCCGCCCCAGGGACCCCGGCAGGGAGGCGGGGCTCTATGGATATCCATGTTTCCCGTTGCCCACATGTGAACGAGACTGACTAGCTATGAAACCGAATGATCAGTTATGCTGCCTCCGGCTCCCAGGAAGCTGGGTTTTTTCCTTGTGGTCCAGGAGAGGTTGGATTTGTGGAGGGAAGGAGGGACAGCTGCATAGAGTGACCCTTGAATTCACGTCTTCCCTCTCTCCTGAGTTGGGAAATGTCACCTCATGGACGTAGATCTCTAGGTGACAAAAAGCATGGCATTTAGGACAAGATTTTGTGACTGTTCCGTCTCCCTGGCTTCAAGAGGTGGCTGTGGCTGTTTCGCACGCCTACGGGACTGACTCTTTGATTCCCATCCTGTGTCTCCTAGGGTCTGGTACTGGGGCTACTTCTCTGTCTACGACAGTGGCGGCTACATCCAGGAACTGGGAGTCAGCCTGGAGGAGAGTCGAGAATTGCTGGGCTTCCTGCAGCAGCACAATTGGATTGACAACATGTGAGCCTGGGGGGAGGCGGGGAAGCAAAGAGGGCCAAGGGCACACTGTTCGGGCAGAAATGTGAACAGTAAATATTTAACGCCTTTTTTTTTTTACTTTTCAAAGTTCTCATCACTTCTTCTCTCCTTTTACTCACAAACTGTCCCTGGGAGAGAAGGAAGTTTTTCTCCCCATTTTATACAGAGTTGGCGTCAGGAAGACCTGAGTAAAAATCCAGCCTCAGACGCTTCCTGGCTGTGTGATCCTGGGCAAATCACTTAACCTTGTCTGCTTCAGTTTCCTCATTTGTAAAATGGGGATAATAATAGCTCCTACCTCCCAGAGTTGTTGTGAGGATAAAACGAGATATTTGTAAAGAGTTTCGCATTCCTTAGCAATGCTAACGATGATGAGGAACTGAGGCCCAGAGAGGGGGCCGGGGACCGGCCCAGCCTGGGGTCTCCCTCTATTGTTTGTGTCGGGAGCTGGCAGTCTGGTCCACGAGTGGGTTGACCCCCTGCGTCTTGGTCCTCAGGAGCCGGGCGGTATTTGTGGAGCTCACGCAGTACAGCCCAGCTGTGGGGCTCCACGCTGCGGTCACGCTGCGCCTCGAGTTTCCGGTGTCGGGACGAGCTTTGACGGCCATCAGCGTCCGGCCCTTCCCCCTGCAGCGGCTCAGTGCAGGCGTCACCCTGCAGTTGCTGATGATGGTCAGTCCTGTGCCACGCCCCTCCTGGTGGCTCCCTGCCCTCTCCCATCCGATCCTTCCCCTTGGTCCCTGCCCGGCTCTGCCCAGCTCACCCGGGCCTCCCCTCCAGCAAGCTGATTGCTTCCCGCAGGTTTTTCTGATGCTCTTTGTCGTGTACTTCGTGGTGGCTGAGGCCCTGGCCATGCAGAAGGAGGGCCAGGCGTACCTGGTTCGTGCAGGGGCTTGGGGCCAGTGGTTGCTGATCCTCTTGACCACGGCCACCGTGCTCATCCATCTGAGTCAGCTGAGCCTGGCCGACCAGCAGTGGGGCCGTTACCTGAAACGCCGTCCCCACCACTTCACCAGCTTCTACCAAGTGGCTCAGCTTAGCTCAGCCTTTGCCAGCCTGGCCGCATCTCTGCTCTTCCTGCTGATGATCAAGGTGGGTCTCCGTTATGCCAGTGTCTCCCCAAAAGGCTAAGTACACCCCATCTTTTTCCCTCCTGGACTCACAACCCTGGGAGGCCCCATTGTGGGCCCTGCCTCCTTCTCCTCCAGAGGCTTCTCAGACTTGGTGACAGCTTGATCTTTGTCCTCAGGCTGCCCAGCAACTTCGTTTCATCCGTCAGTGGTCAGTGTTTGGGAAAACCCTCTACCGCTCAGTGAGAGAGTTGGTGGCTGCTGGCTTAGCCCTTCTAGTGCTGGCTATAGCCTATACCCAGCTAGGCTTCATGGTAAGTCATCTTTCCCAGACAGGACCCCCTAAGCGGGAGAGCCACCTACTTCTCCCCAGGGAGGAGTGAAAGAGCTGATGAGGCTGGAGGATGATGGGTACTTCCTCAATGTCAATCTTGTACCCTGGTCCCCAGAAGCTAGGGTGGAGGGGCAGGATGGAAAAGTGGCAGTTTGTGGGTATCACCTTAACTCCCTAGGTGGTACAGTGGGCCTGGAGTCAGAAAGACCCAAGTTCAGATCCAATCTCAGATCCTTCTAGCTATGTGACCCTGGGCATGTCACTTAACCTATTTGCCTCAGTTTCCTCAACTGTAAAATGAAGATAATAACAGCACCCACCTCGCAGGATCAAATGACAGTAACTTAAAGCACTTAGCACAGTGCCTGGCACGTAAGTGCTATGCAAGTGTTAGCTATTATTATCATGTGATAAGATTTCCTGATCATTTACTTTTGAAAAAATACAAGTTTTATTTTACTCTTTTCAATTAACTAGCATTATTTTTCTTTCCCATTCTCTCAAATGAAGAAAAATACCCAATCTTGTAGCAAATAAGCATAGTTAAGCAAAACAAATCCCCACATTGGCTGTGTCCAAAACTCTCTCATTCTGCATCTTCAGTCCATTACTTTCCTCATACATACTGCACCGCACCCCACCCTCTGCCACCCTGGGCTCACTGCCTCCATCTCTCTCCCACTAACCTCACTTCTCTCCTCACAGCTGTTTTCCTCCTGCTCTGACTCCCTTCGAAGCATGGGCTGGGATCTCTTCCTGCTGTGCCCGGCGGGTGGGGACCCCCATCTGTGTCCCTCAGAGCCCTGGCGTCTCTCGCCCTTGCTATGCACCAGCCTCATGGTGCTGCAGCTGTGGGGGGCTCTGCGGCTGGGGGCCGTTGTGCTGCGGAGGCGCTACCACGCCCTTAGGGGAGAGCTTTACCGCCCAGCATGGGAGCCCCAGGATTATGAGATGGTGGAGCTATTTCTGCGGCGCCTGCGCCTCTGGATGGGTTTCAGCAAGGTCAAGGAGGTGAGTGCAGAGGAGTCCCCTGGCAGGGGGAAGCTCAGAGCCAGGGGAAGAGCCCTTGTAGGGGACAGCCAATTTTCAACCCTGGCACAATTTTTAACCTCCTACGGCATCGAAAGTCACTTACGTCTTACGTGGCGAATTACGGACAGGACTTTTCGTTTAGTGTCAAAGTAGGTCTGATTCCCCTTGCTTGAACTGGGCTGACTTACTGACCTTTGCATTATCCCTAGTTTCGACATAAGGTCCGGTTTGAGGGGATGGAACCACTGCCCTCACGCTCATCAAGTGATTCCAAATCATCTCAGGATGTGTCCCCACCGAGTGCTGGCTCAGACACCTCACGCCCATCCACCTCCTCCAGTCAGCTGGATGGGATGAGCCTGCTGATGGGCCGAGCAGGGGCCCGGGGTGACCCTGAGCCAGAGCCCTCTCGCCTCCTCTCAGTCTTCGAGGCTCTGCTAGCCCAGTTTGACCGCCTTAACCAGGCCACGGAGGATGTGTACCAGTTGGAACAGCGACTGCAGGGGCTGCGATGTCAGAGATCCAGTGGCCATTTGGCCAGCCCACCCTGGGGCCCTGGCCCTCCCGTGCTTTCACCTTCCCCAGGCCCCTCCCTTGGGATCCAGACCACTCTGCCAGCCAGGATAGCACGGGCCAGCAGGGGTATTGGCATGGCAACTGCTCAGTCTTCTTCCAGCTCACCTCTTGTGAGGGCATCGATAAGGGCAAAGAACAGGATCCACCCCAGCCTTACATAGAGGGGAACCTGGCCCGGCTGGAGTAGGAGCCCTTGGTACTATTATGGCTCCAGCTTGAATCCCTAATATCAGACCACTTCCTAGGGTACCTCCTTTGGCCATGCTCCAAGCCAGGCTTCCTTCCCTTAGCATGTGGGCTGTAGTTTGTCCCTGGCTGCAGCTCCCTATACCTGAAGCAGGGATGCCTCTCAGTATTAAGCTCTCTTACCCAGGGGTTCTAGCTTCCCTTTCCCCATCCCACAGTAGTGATGTACTTGGGCCCAGGGGTTACGGGAAAGGGAGAAACAACGGTACCCAGATCCAGAGCATGGTCTCTCTGGCCAGGAATCCTGAGCCCTGGGTGGAGGGGCTCCAAAACTCAGCACTTTAATGGAGGCTTTCTTAACAGGCAGGGACCCAAGTATTCCCAACACTCCAGAACAGGGCTGGGGTGAAGAGCAGTATTGGATTTTTTTAGGCCTAAAATTGAAATAAGCAGGAACCAAAGGTGTGACCACCATGTATAGGGGAGGGGGGCTCACTGTGGTGATGGTAGCTGGAGGGGGAGACAGGTCCCTTAGGATGGTGGAACAGATTCTCCTCCCCTGATCCTCATGTGTCTGAAGTAGAACATGAGGGTGGGGGAAGGGAGCAGATGGAGGTTGGGGCCTTTGAGGGCTAAGGATTCAGCCCCTCATACCCTAATTTATTACCTGGGCCCTCAGGTACAGCGGGGCTGTGCCTGCCCCACCTCCCCCAGTGGCAGGCACCTCCTCACACTAAGGGCACCCCAGCCTGCCTCCCCCAACCCCTAAGTTATTGCCACCCCCTACACTTACATTCCAGCCACTGTCTCACCATGTATATGTATATTGTCAGTAATTTATATGGGGTTAAAATGTATATATTTTTGTATGTCGCTATATTTTCATAGCACTGGGGTGGGGAGAGAGCTGCAACACATGTAGTTGAGCCTCTCCCCTCCCACCAATTATTTAAGGTGATGTTCCCGAGGGCACAGCCCTCACTGAGTTTGCTGTATATAAAGTGTTAGTGGTGTGTGTGGATGCCCCAGAGCTGGGGGCCTAGGGAGCTGGGTTGCTCCTGGAGCCCCATGCCAGGGCCATGGGCTTGGGCTTCCAGCAGGCTTTTAAGGCTGGTGTGAGGAGTAGCTCAGAGGCCAGAGGGGCAGGACCCAGGTCAGTGAGCGGGGTCAGGGTGTGGAGCAGGTAACGAGGGGTCGGGTTTGTTTCTCACGGGGGGGGGGGGGGGGGGGGGGGGGGG